ATGGTGTTCCCAATATACATAATTTCACTTAAATGCGCAGTGCCTCAGAACGTACCCGCTGAATAAATGGGGAATTGCCTGTAAAAATAAATAAAACAACGGTGGCAGCACAGACTCATATTGAAAGAAATGTTCTTAACAAGCCGCCTTCATAAATGAGTCCTTTGTGAAACAAAATCTCCTCTTTTGCCCCATCCTCCAGCAATGGAGCCAGGTAGGCTTCTCCTGAGAAGAATGATCCCCCCCCCCAATTGCTATCACTTAGCTAAGAGTGCAATCCTATCCATGTCACTCCTCAAGTAAGTCAGCTGAGTCCAGTGAGGCTTACTTCGGGGAAAGTGGTATAGGATTGATAGTCCCTATCAGTTGGACAGAATGCAAGGGGGAGGTTGGGATGCCTTTGGGGAGAGGCAATTTCTTTTGCTGGTGGTATCACGCAAGAAAGGAACCCTAAAGTACAGGAAGGTGATGTGCCTGTGGCTGCAATATGGTCTGTGGAAACCAGGAGAACTCTTTATGTTGAAAGTGGATTGGATTATTGCCCACTTTCTAGTGCTTTTGGTATCCTAAAGGGCTGCACAATTATATTATCAAGCATGTGAATTATTATTCCAATTTCACAGATGGGGGCCTGGGAGCCAAAACAATGGTTTGTCCCAAGTTATCACCAAACAACTCTGGATTGAGTTGAGATTTGAAAATAGATCTTTCATAGGTTCAAGATCAACATTCCATTCAGTAGCCTCACAAGATTAATGTAGAATCATTTGTAGGCCTTTCCATTTCATGGTTGCTTCTGTATATGCCCATAGTGCTTTTGAATGAGAACGAAAGCAGAATAAGCAAGCAGTGACATATTTTTGCACCGATTTTTCTGACACTTGCTATTAGATAGTGATTGCAAAACAGGTTTCTATTCCCATCTCCTTCAATATAACCTGGAAATCTGATCCATATGCCTTTCTTTCTTTCACAAAAATCATTTTTAATTAAGCCATCCAGAGTGCTTTGGGGTAATGTCACCAATGCAAATGAACACAGCAGACTGAGAGTAAAAATAAATTAAACTGTCACCTCAGAAGATGGGAACCAATTTGTAATCATAATCAGAGAAGTGATTATCCTCAGGTTAATAATAGGATTTCTGCAAAACTATAAACCTCTGATGTGCTCTTCAGTCTCTGTTGTGAACACCCAAATCCAAGTTGCCAGAATTATGTATGATTGACACAAGCTGAGATCAGGACTGATGACAGCGATAAAAAAAAGTAATAATAATCATGTATCCAGGCAAAGGGGCTACTGGCTTGGAGCTCTACAGCACCATTTACACCCCCTTTCAGGATATTTTGACTGGCTATATATTGCTTATGTATTTAATGGAGACAGTATTGCTTTCTTCCTATGTATCACCTTGCAAAACCTACAATGCTGTCTCCTTTTAAGTCAAATCTTCAGGACGTCTAAGCTCTGTACTTTCAGGTTTGCTGGCCGGCAGCTCACTGAAGCCTCCAGCTTGAAATATATGCTGTTTCCAGACCTGTTACCTGAGATCCTGTTAAACTGAAAATGCCAGGGATTGGACCCGAGATCTTTTGCATGCAAAACATCTTCTCTCCCACTTCAGCAATGGACCCTGCCAGGCAAGACTCGGATTAGGCTGCCTTCTGTGAGAGGAACTGAGGCAGATGACATGGCCAACTCAGGAAGTCTGCCTGCCAGATTCTCCTTAAGTCCCTCTCCTCAGTCTGTCCTTCTCTCCAAGCGGTAAACGTTTCTTAGAGGCCAGGAAGGGTGAGCTGGTGGTGGGTCCCAGTTGGACTCCCCCCCCCCCCCATTTCTTCACCCCAAACTGAATAAAATGCTGCTAATGCATCAATACTGCAGTGTCTTCTCCCAACTGGGATCAAGAGTCGTAAACTTCCATAAATCCCTGGTGGAAAATGACACTGGCATTTTCCCGCTGGGGATGTAGTTGAACCCCCACGGTCCCAGGTGGTGAATGAAATGGTAGCTTAAGAAGAGGAACCGTGTGCTGCTGCCCTGCCAGACACCCAAGGAAAGCTTTTTCCCCTGGGGGAAGGAAGGACTGGGCACTCCAAGTATTCTCTGGAACTTCTGCCTTCTGCCTTGAGAGGTTTCAGTGTTTGATTGGGCTACTCAGTGAGGGGTCCCATTCAGTTTTTGAGTGAGCAGCCTTCTGCCTGCCCATCCTTAACTTGGATTCACCTGAGCCTTTGCACATCCACAGACTCCACTGAAAAACATTTTGTCTCAGCTGATATTCAAAGAGATTGTATTTCTGCTTGAGGTGTTAGGTGGGCTCATTCTGGCACGCAAGAAGTTGCGTTTGTGCCTCTTATGGCCACAGTGAAGTTCTTACTGCATGGGTTATACTCTGATCACATGCATGGTGGCTCTTGTGAATACCGATGACAAAAGAACTTAAACCAGGCATAGGCAAACTCAGCCCTCCAGCTGTTTTGGGACTACAACTCCCATTATCCCCAGCTAACTGGTCCAGTGGTCAGGGATGATGGGAATTGTAATCCCAAAACAGCTGGAGGGCAAAGTTTGGCCATGCCTGACTTAAACCAAAACCAAATGTACACTGACAGCATTTTTAAAGAAAAAGAAGAGGAAACAATTCACAGGGGCACAAATGATCAAAAGAACTGATGATATTCATATCATGAATCCCCCCCCCATATGCACATGAAGAGAGACATAGACTGTAGCCCAATTTATGGGTATTCTGGGAACAACAGGTTGAAAGGAGTAAGGTGTCATTTGATAATCTTTTAATGTTTACCTTATCTAACTCAACACTTTTTTAAGATTAATGAGCCATCCTAGCAGAAGGAACTGCTGCTGTTCTTCTCCACGGAGCAAACGAACACAAAGTAACAAAACAAAAAGAACCTTTCAAATTTATTTATGTGCAATGTAAATGGGTAAAATGAGCATATGGGTATTACAGAATTCTCTCTATTTTTATCGGTGTGGGGCCAGATTGTTTGCCTCCCCAGCTCCTCCCTAACAAAAAGTAAAATGTGCGAAAGATTTCTTGAAATAGCAGACTTTGTGAACTGGCCAGCTTCCTCCTCCTTCTCCATCTTACCGAAAGCAGAACTCATCAAGAGGAATCTGCCAGGACACACGTATGCTGGGCATTTAGCAGCCTCTCGCCCCCATTTGCAACACCTCATTTGCTCTGTCGGCATTGGCTTTATCCTGAAAGCTCCTGGGGAAAGCAGAGCAGCAAACAAGGCCCCGTAAATAGAAAGTTGTACTCAGGACCCCTCCAGGCATCCCTTTTATGGCACATTCATAATGATTTTGTGCTCATTATGCTCTCCAGGGCAGTCTCACGTGATCCTGGTTTCAATATTTTTGCAATTGCAAAAGTTAAAGGGGTAGTCACTAGGGCTGGCCGATATCTGATTTTCAGCATCACAATATATCAACAGCTAAGTATCACGATATCTATGGCGGCAGAGGGCCTTGCCGGGCCTCCCCACGGCACTGGAGGGTCTTAAAATGTAAGGAAGTAGTAGATTTAATAAAAATATTAAATAAACTTCCATATAATACATTTAATATGTTTTCAACTAATTTAAGAGTAGTTTAAGAGATTTACTAGTCAAGTTGCATCTGCTTCCCCACTCAAGAGGTCTAAATGGAATCTGTGCATGCACAAGCCCCACTGTGTTCAACTAAACTTACTTCTACTTTCCTGGGAGTAAGCCTCATTGAATTCAGTAGGGCTTGCTTGTGAGTAGATACGCATTTGCTTGCACTGCTTACCAAAGAACATCCTCCCCATCATTCTCACATAGTACCCAACCTCCCATTTCAGCCATAAGGCAGCCAGCTAAGTCCTCTCTCCTCCATCTCCCCACCCCCAGCCCTCATCCCACCAAACTCTCCCTTTTTATCAAAGGGAAGGAGGGAGGGCAAGCAAGCAAAAAGGTAGTCTCCTTTAAATATTTTTTTTAAAAAACCTTTCTGAAATGGAGGGAAGCTATTTAGGGGGAACCAACAACATAAACACCACCAGAAAATAAAAACAAAAACTCTTTTTTTCACCAGCGGGGTGAGGAAAGAAAGAAGAGCTTAGAAGAGCTTTCCAGTTCTTTACTTCTTCACTTTGCGCTGGATCTTGATTGTCTAGCCATGGGGGGGGGGGGTCCCCCCTGGATTGTTAGGATCTGCATAATTAGATGATGATGAAGCTGAAAGAGTTTCCTGGTTTGTGTGAGGGCTTATCATCATTTCTTATTGGTTAGGAGGGAGAAGGGAGAGAGCAAGCAAAGCTGGAGACACCAGTGCCTGCAAATTACCTGCAAAGTACCTGTAAAGTATTCTGAGCTACCCCCAGGGAAGCTGTTAAGTCTCCACCTCCTTTTGTTCATGGTGTTATTTCAATACTGGTATTCAACGGTATGGCGATTTATTGCACCTCTCTAGTAGTCACACTGCTTCATTTTCAGTCCCAAAACTTCCTGCTGAAACTGCACAACTTTTATACCACAAATGTTCTGGTTTAATTTTTGTCCTCTTTTGTTCTACCATAGCCACTCAGGACTGCAATAACATAGTAGCATTGGGGATTCATCACAGAAAAGTATAACAAAATAAATCTACCACCAACGCTCTATTATTGTGTTAAGAAAACGTGGCAGTGAACATCCACAATGAAACACCTGTTGGAGGTGCCTGTAGACTTTTCAGTTAAAATGCTAGCCAATTAGAGTCTCCCAAATGGGTACATTTCTGGCTTAATTCTCTTCAATAAATAATCTCCCCTTAGATTTCAACAGCTGGTAAGGTTTGTTGAGCTCATGATCTTGCCGATGACCCGGGAAACCACCATGGAGCAGAGCAAAAGAGCTGCCTCTTATTCAGTCATGGATCCCACACTGGTGCCAAGTGTGACGGCGTTTTGTGAATATTGTGGATGCATATCTAACAGAATCTCGATTCAGATCACACAACACTCAGATGGTTTCCAGACTAAAGAGAAAGAAATTCTGTAATTAGTGAGTGAATTTACTTACTGCTAGAATCATGGTGCTGCATCAAAGTCAAAGTTATGGTTGCTGAACTTAATTAGCCTTCCCTCTTCTTCCATAAAACTCTGTCTGCTAGAGAGCAGCCAAGAATGTATGACAGATCCCAGACTCCTCTGGCTGTAATAATATTTTGACTATACATAGACATCTTTTCTGCAAACAAATAACTAAAGTGGGCTGCCACAACCAAAAAGCTTCAACAATTTCAAACACCTTTGCTTTTCCATATATTGCTTTAGGAGAGGAAAAGTAAGAGAAGCTTGTCAATGCTTTTAAAGCAACTATTTCATATTTACAGAGGATGGAATGGAAGACTAAGCAGGCGTTTCCATAACTGAGACTTAAAGTGCCTCTTGCTTCAATTGAGTTGTAATGTGAATAGAATCCACATCACCAGAGAATCATTCACGTTACAAATGCCTGCCTTACACATTTACAGCAATCAGATATTAAAATAAATAGGACAAGAGAGGCTCAAAGGTGCTTTCATGTGTGAAAATGCTGTTAGACTTTCAAGGACATGGCCTGACACAAGAAAGAAACGAGGCTGTGCAAATTAAGTCACAACAGCATGCGTGTAGGAAATTATTTTACTAGAATGATTCCAACAGTTTCTGACCTAATCTGACATTTGGGCAACTGGTTACATTCATCAGGGGCATCAGCTAAGCAGAGTCCTCATGTAACAAATTGCCCTATTCACCTGACATGAGCTACCAATGAGATGGAGGGCCTGATTAATGTGCCATTGGCCTGATTAATCTGGTAAGTCCCACATTATGGGGTGTGTATGTGTATGAGTGACTGATGCTCACACACAGGGAAATGTGTAGTCCAGGACATAGGGTGCAATCCTAACCCTGACCAGCAGTGATGGGAATTGATGGAGTGGCACAGCCAACACCACACCCATGCTGGCCAGCGTGGAAGGTGGAGGCAGGAAAGAAATGTTCCTACACCACCACCAGCCCCCCAACTGGTGCAGCAGAGGCCCAGATCAGGCCCAGTGCTGTCACCTGCCCTCTTTGGAGGGCATCCTCTGACTACTGCTGGTGGGGACGACACCAATGGTAGCTTCCACCCACCTGCCCTTTTGGTGGGTATATGGTGTGCTCCTCATCATTGGGCTTCCCTGATGGTGGAGCTACCAAGATGGCAGAGTCTGGTGGAGACTGGCAGTGCTGGGTGGAGGACCTCCTCTGCTCCATCCAACGCCACCCACTCCAGTGGACTGGAGGTTTGGATTGCTCTACCCATTGCTAAAGTTCCATAGGTGGCACACACTCTGAGAAAGGGATGGAAAAGTTCCCCTTTGACTCATTTTCTGTGGATGTGCCAGCCTGGTGGTGGTGGGAAATAGCAAGGCCACCTGCTCTTGAAATGGAAATTTAAGCTCTCACATTCTGCTGACAGCATGGGAGCTGCTTCTTGCCATACTTTTGGAATAACCTGGACTGGCCCAAGAGATGTTGCTGCCTGGGGCAAAGGACATTTGGCGCCCCCTCCTATTCCATGCACAAAAGCTGACTGGACCAGCAGCTGACTCTTACTTCAGCACCAGACAGCACCCTTCGTTGCATCTGAGGGCAGTTGGCGTCTTGGGAGGTGAAGAGTAGGTCATGTGGTACACACAGCCTGGTCTGCCAACACCCATTTTCTCATGGACTGAATCTGCTGTGGGGAAGAGGCAAACCTCTCACATCGTCTGGGGCTTTCCGTGTCACCCCAGCACTGCAGGGCCCCCTACACTGCAGGCATCTTATAAGAACCGTCTCTTAAGGGGGATCTCAAAAACCTTTTGTGCCATGGCAAGGAAGCCGGCAGCTCAAAGGAAAATAAAATCCCATTACTGTAAAACCCCCATTACGGTACTCATGGAGATTTAGCATGCTTTTACAATTCCAGCAATGATTTCGAGGAAATCTGTACGTTCTTTTAATCCGAGTATGGAAAGAACTGCTGCGGTGCCATGCCCTGAAAACTGTAGTCAGTGATGAATGAGCTGTTTTTAATATTTGCACAGAGAAGGTTTTATTGCTGTTGAGACTAACCAGAGCAGATCCATAATCAGAGACTATGTAAAGTAGTAAGGCTGAAAAAACTAAAAGCACTGACCTTTGAAATGGTTGAGCATGGAGAATGATTTGTTTATACAATAAGTTGGTCATAGGTTTGTGACATGGCATGGTTCAGATTCCCCAGAATATTTTGCAATCAGTGCCTGCCACTAGTTAAGTATGAATTCAGTTCTTCCCCAAATCAGACTACAGTGGCACCTCTAGTTATGAACTTAATTTGTTCGGGAGGTCCATTCTTAACCTGAAACTGTTCTTAACTAGAAGCGTGCTTTCACTAATGGGGCCTCTTGCTGCTGCTGCGCCACCGGCACACAATTTCCGTTCTCATCCTGGGGCAAAGTTCTCAACTCAAGGTAATGCTTCCAGGTTAGTGGAGTTTGTAAGCTGAGGCGTTTGTAACTTGAGGTACCACTGTATAAGCTGAAAAGTATAATACAGAAGTACTGATTTTTCAACTTAGAAGTAGCATCTCCTCTTGAAATAATTTGTCGCCCAACACACTATACCAGACTTTAGCTTAGCAAGACTGCATGAGCCTATAAGCCTCTGAAGAGGAGCTCACGGCTGCTTTCCTCTTCCCTGGTCCTTTGGTTCAGGAGCAATGCAGGAAATGCCATTATTGTCCTTAACTAGGGTCAAAATTCAGCCCAGCACTTTGCAGTCGTGTTGGTTTCAATGGGAAAATGAACCATGTGTTTAAATATCTGCCACTGAAATAATTATAAGTAAAAAGTGCTTAATCATGGCTCGATCATGCCTTGCGACATGTTCAAGGAAAAAAGAAAACTCTTGCTTCTGTGAGACATTTTTACTCTACTAAAGTCAACGAGAACCTGAGCAATGGCATCAACGGGGTGAACAGAAACTCTGTGCCTGATTTTTTTTATTTTATAAAGGTTACTGAAACTTGCCATGTCTAACAGCACAATTTAAACAGTGTCTTCTCAGAAGGGAGTCCTAATGAATTCAATGGGGCTTAGTAAGTGGTAAGTGGGGTTAGGACTGCAGCGCTACTGGGAGGGGAGAACAAGAGGGTCACATGAAGGCAATGTCAATCCTTTGAACTGCCAGGGATTTTTAGAGGGAAAAGGGAAGAGCTGGGAGAGGAAACATGGGGCAAGCCAGGTTTTGGGGATGGGGTGTTGTCCCACCACAGTTGTGATCACAACTGTTTCAACTGTGTGGGATACACTCACCTGATCCTAACATAGGATCCCCGTTTAATGCTTCAGAAGGCAAATAAGAACAAAAACAGAAAAATGATGGTTAACAATGTAACAGCATGCATTTCTACTTATACAAATGTTCTCTTAAAGACTAATAAGAAAACATCATGCTTGAGACAAAGGTTTGAAAATAAGCCCCTCCCTCCCTGCCGCTGCCACCCTGCACTCTCAACTACCAAGATGGGAATAATTGAGAGCCTATTTTGCTTTGACTTGGTATGGAGCAAGGGGGGGTGGGGCTTTTGTGTCTAGGGACTGCAGTCCCTCGTGGGCAACCTTTTGGAGGTTGGGGCAGCGATGAGCAAGGCCAGAGCAAAACCTGGGCTGGTCAAGGGCAAAAGTCACCTCTCTGCCCTGTATTAAGGGGACAAAAACAAACCCCTGTGTTCCAATACAGAATAATCTGCTCCAATACGGCTGCAACATGTGGCTAATAAATTTAGTAAATATAATATTGTTCGTGGTTAGAATTGTCACCCAAACTTTACAAGTCATCAACTTCAAAATATATATCAGTCCAAAGCCAAGAAGTAGTCAGCTAGTCAGCGTAATGAATTGCTGGGAGGGAACACCACGTCGCAGGCAGGATGTCCGGATTGAATCTACTGTTTCGAAGGTGAATCTTTGTCAGCTGATGATGAAATTAAATATGTTACATACGATGAATGACAACAATAATTATTTGGTATGTATTCCTCATTTATTATTTATTCATTATTTACATGCAGCTTGCTCAGTATTATTTTTGTTGTCATTCATTGTATGTAACATATTTAATGTCATCATCAGCTGACAAAGATTCACCTTCGAAACAGTTGATTCAGTCTAGACATACAGTTCTGTTTGTTTGCTGGTTGCTACTGAATTCTTTACGCTGGAACACCCACCAGCACAGTACTTTTGGACATCATCCATTGAAGGGCATTGAATACATTTACTACATTTATTGCCACGTGTTGGGCAGAGAGCCCAAGCGCACACCCTGCTTTGGTGCTTCTGCCTGGCAGGAATGTATCCTTGAACATAATGCCCCTTGCTTGCCTGGATGGTGAGATGTGTGTGCGTGGAAACCTCTGGCTTCCGTGTGGCTGCAATATGGCCTTACTTTCCAAAAGGTGAGACTCATATTTATTGCCCCGTCCACTTTGGTCTCTGGCCTTGCCCACCATGGGCACAAGGCAAGTGGAAGGTTCCCCATAAGCAAATGCGCAGCCCTTGGACTGAAAAGGGGTCCCTACCCCTGCCCTGCCCAGACCGTACAGTGGTACCTCACAAGACGAATGCCTCGCAAGACAAAAAACTCGCTAGACGAAAGGGTTTTTTGTTTTTTGAGCTGCTTCGCAAGACGATTTTCCCTATGGGCTTGCTTCGCAAGACGGAAACGTCTTGCAAGTTTGTTTCCTTTGTCTTAACTCCGTTGAGAGAGTTGCGACTTGACTTCGAGGAGCAACTGATAGAACGCGGTGTGGTAGCCTTTTTTGAGGTTTTTAAAGACTTTGGTGATTTTTGAAGCTTTTCCAAAACTTTCCCGACACCGTGCTTCGCAAGACGACAAAAATCGCAAGACGACAAAACTTGCGGAACGAATTAATTTCGTCTTGCGAGGCACCACTGTATCTGAATAGAAACCATTTCAAAAGAAATAACCAGTGCTTTTTTTATGGGGTGACGCTGGGGTATGCATACCCCTAAACATTTTGTGAATCTAAGTCTGGCCTCATTGAGTGGCAGGATTTCAATATGAGTAGGAAAATGAGAGTACCCCTACACACTTTTTTTTAACAAAAAAACAACAACAAACCACTGGCAATAACAAACATTTGCCTCGAGTGAAATTGCAACGAAAAAGCAAGCTCTCTCTCTCTCTCCAGTATTCAAGATGTGGACAGATTGCAGCGTTCTGAACACATGCTTAATTTTTAAACCTTCCAGCATTGACACAAAATAGCTACCGGTAAGTTGCAACGGAAAACTAAAACTATGGTTTGCTCCGGTTCAAACCAAGACAGCAGGCGTTTCTTCCCCATCACAAGTAAGTGAGTGAGTGTAGGGAGGGCTTGCACATTACAAAGGCTGCTGAGCATCTTTGTGCAGTTCCCTGAAGAATGTCTGCCAGTGAGGGCTAGAGGGAACAGAGTCAGGGCTCCCGCCCCCAGGACGGACGGGCAGCTTTTCAATTTTTCAGGAAAATCACATTTTCTCTGCTGGCCTCTGGTGGTTCCAGGCACTGAGAATCAAACTATTAGTCACACTTAGGCCCCAGTGAAATCGATGTGAAGAGTTAGTTATGTCTAATTAACTCCCATTGATTTCAATTGGGATGAATGCAAGCCAATGCATTTTGTGTTCTCAAAGTAATAAAATAAGTTTAGGTCTACTACAAAACAAAATGTTGCATAGATTTATTCATTTGCTTTAAAATTCATATGCCAGTTTTTGACCTTCAAGGGCATCCAAAAGTGTTGTAAAATCAAATTAAAACAACAACAACAAACAGCATAAAGTGATAGAACATAAAGGAGACTGCATTCTCATTCGGACTGCACCAATGCCTAACAGCTCTTATTACTGAAATGCTTCTTCATATTTTTGCAAAATCAGCTTCCTTACAACTGACACTCATAGGTTATAGTCCTGTCGCTTGGAACAAAAGGAAACTAGTTTGCTGCATCCTATGCATCACAGTTCTTCAGGTATTTGAAGACCACATTCATGTATCCCCTCACCTCTATTCCAGATTGCATCTCACTTATTTTGCCCCATAAGACTAAAAAAAACAAGCTGGTCTCTCAATGCACATCCCCAGTTGAAGTTCTGTTTTTTGGCACTATGTGGTGACTTGATGACACACTATTGGCTGATTTACACGTTACAGAGAGGAAGAACTTTAAAAAGTAGCCTGATGGAGTGGAACTCATCCATTTCACCAAACAAAATATCCCAAAGACCCAGCAGCTGCTCCTAGGGTTGAGGGCCCATTACTCAGTGGGAGAGCGCATGATAGGCTCAACACTTTGTCATTAAAGGGATTTCCAGAAGCAGAGCTTAGAAAGAACTTTGCCTGAGGCCACAGAGAGATACTGGCAGTCAAAACAGGCTGTACTGGACTAGAAGAGCCAATGGCATGGCTCAGTATATGGCTGCTTCATGTGTCCATATGCACATGCCCCGCTTTCTGCAGAAGTTATCGTGAGAAGCTCAGTCCTCAAACAGAAAGAGAAGTCAATTAAACCATAAACAAGTACATCGTGCAACACTTCAGAACTTCATGTGAAGCACACAGCCACATCTTGCGGAAACTGTAATGACACATAATGAGGAAAACAGAGGCAGATTTCAGACGTGTGGGCTGAAAAGTTCTTACACAGGTTGGGTCACACTTCATTAATCTAACATTTTTCAGTTCAACAGCAAGATTCAAACTGCCTTCTTTGTTTTCCAGATAGGCAGCTCTAGTCCCTAGATATAGTAAATTGAATTTATTATGGTCCTAGACCAGACTCACATGTCCCTAGATATAGATTCTGAACATTTGCAAAGTTAGGGCAATTTGGACCTGGAGTTTCCATTTAGGCCACTGTAAGAACAAGAGCTATTGATCTATTTCAGATTGGCTCTGGTTTAGAGCAAACACAACAGAGCATCTCAGAACAAAGGGTCCTATTTAGATTCTCCTCTAATCAAAATGAAAATGAAAATAAGCTTATTGAAATTGCATGAAATTAGAAAGGGGTGATTTCCCCCAGGCATGAACTGGAACAGCTTGGAAAACATGCCAAGCTCCTCTCCCCCAAAGCAGAAATAATGCAATGTATTTTATGATCTGTTCCAACATCTAACATCGCCCATTACTCTTTTGCTTACCCAGGCCAGAACCATCCAATCCCCTTCTCCCTATAAACTCAACTGACTGGGCCATGCCAGTGTAGCAGGAGTGGGAGCAGGGAATTCAGCTTGGAGGAAGCAGGCAGGTTCCTGGAGTGAAGACTGCAGCTGCAGGACTTGGCCATGCTGCTGTCATGCTACGCAGGGCGAAGATATAGTTCGTGTTGTGGTCTGTCTCTCCCAAACACACAACAAGCAGTAGAGCAGGAACAAAGCTGGTTACAGCTCATCATTTGTCTGGCATTGTCTGAGGTGACTTTGATGAGGCAAAGAAAACAAACTACACTTAAACCATAGTTAGGGACTGTCTGGATTCGCACGTAACAAGATTCAACCATTGTCAAGATCAGTAAGCCAACAACAAACCATGGCTTGTTTTTTTCCAACAAACTATACTTAATAAACCATAGTTGCAGTACTAGGATGGGTTCACATGTAACACTAAACTGTGGTTTATTAATTAAGGTTTATGCAAATCATGGTTTAATGTTATGTGTCCATCAGAACCAGTGTATTGTGGTCAATAAGCCCCTTAGGTTCTTCATTATTTCTGTGGTAAATCATAGAATCACAAAATTGCAGAGTTGGAAGGGACCACAAATGTTATCTAGTCCAACCCTCTGACATGCAGGAATCCTTTGCCTATCATGGGGCTCAAAGCCACGAGCCAAAGATTAAGATTCCCGTGTTCTACTCCCTGAGGTTTCCCAGCTACACTATCAAGTATCCACTCCCTTACCGTAAGCTTCATGTACAGGTTCCCCAATTTTATTTTGAATATATATTGGAAAAGCTCCCTCTTTCTCTGTCTTTCACTATTCTCTCGCATCTCCTTCTCCAGAAGCCCATGCATTTCCCTCAATAGTCCATGCAAAGGCTGCACAGAATAATCTTAATTTGCAGTAGCATCTTCCACACCACCATTTCCTGTGAATTCTTTCCTTGTGCTCCAAGTTCAAACTTTGGAGAATTCTTCTGATATCAAGTGGCTCATTTCTGCATATCTCATGGGTGACTGAAGCCACTCGTAAATCCAACGGAAACTTTGTCTATGCAGCCTACGCTTGGAGCAGACTCCCTCTGTTGTCTCCATGACTCTTATTCCTTTCATTGTTTCGAACACTATAGCAATTCACAGTTCAGATCAACATACGTTTCTGGAAATAACCATATGTCAGGCAGAATTATTCACACGTGCAGCATATGTATCAAGGATTGCTGTGTATTAGACATACCTATCCATACCAAATACACAGCTTTCACACTGGGAGCAGAAGTAATGCATATCTGCATTTTCTTGTACCCTGTAACTTATACTCTATAGCATATTTTCATTAGAATAATTGTTGCCATGCTGCAGTTTGCAGGAGAAAGCAGAAAACTATATGTAAAGAAATGGGGGGGGGGGGGAGAGAAAGTGAGCTATACTTCACCACTAGGGGTCCCCCTACTCCCTTGTCTAATTTCTGCAGAGAACAAACTTTCCAAGTTTCCCTCTCCACTTTGATAATGAGTAGGATGAGGAATAATGAACTTAGGCTCATTAGCTGGCAAGGAATGAGAACTCTGCCAAACTGTGATAGAATGGGTTGTCTTCATTACAAGATGGTGGGGGTGGGGAAACAGAAAAGAAAAAGCCTGGAAGCAGATTTCTGCATAGCCATCCTGGAAAGCAGCGCCTCATATAATTACAATCCTCATTCCTTCCAACACTTGAAAACCACAAGGCCACTTAAAATATTACTTATTTTCATGGGCTGGTGTATTTAGTAGCTCTCGCTCGTGCACTTCTCATTAAAACAGTGCAATCATAAAACTTTTAATTGGGGAAGTCACAAATGTAACCAGACCTCTTTTATACGAATGACCCATGGCCCCTCTCTAGTGTGGAACGTCACATTTCAACTTGTATGACTATGACGTGCTATTGAAGCTGGAAATCTCTACTCACAAAGTAGAAATGCAGGGCTTAGCAACCGAAAATATACAAAAGCTGGTTCTTCCTTGCTACTCACTACAAAAACCACTTCTATTAACTAATTCCGGTACAATCAGCAAAAGAGGGAACCCCAGACCAAGTGCACAAAGTTTCATAGAAAAATGCATCACATGTGATGCATATCACATCACATTAACACGTACACGTCTCAGACAAAACATATGACAGTGGGGAAACTATCAACATTATTTCAAGCTAGATAATCATTTAAAAGGTATGAAATGAAAGTCATACTATAGGAAGAAGCTCCAGCTACTAGAGACTTTATACTATTTTGGAATATATGGATAGGATTTCCCAAGAGATTTCTCTGAGCCTTTAACACGTCCAAGTCAATTAGACAGAATACCCCAATTATCTTGGATTTTGCAAAGCACTGAAAGAACTATTTTTTTCTTGCCGGCTGAGCCCAGAAGTAGCAGAACTGGGTTGCCATTATAACCCTTTGCAGGACTATTTTTCAGAGGGAACTTACAGGAACTTAGTTCCAGCCCCTCTCAGGTGGGCACCATTGCCATTCTGATAGAACGAGGGAGGTGTTCATGGTGAGTTCCAGCACCTCCTTTTCTAGAAATATATCACTGACCCTTTGATAGAGACACAGAATATTTGACGAATCTTTACCATAGTTGGAATGCAATTCATATGTTAAGATGGCAGTTCATATATTAAAAGTTACTGGGTTTGATAAGCTCATGCAGCAGAGCTCTACCTTGTTGTACAAACATTGCTGGCCAGACCAAGGTTTCAGGATGACAGCCATATCTCCCTTTTATCACCAATAAGGAATACTGCCAGCATGGGTCTCACATGACCCAGTCAGGTTCCTCCATGTTTTTTCACCATGGGATGGATGGCTCAAGTCACAGCCTTGGTGCATCCACGGCCCATAAGGTGAGGTGCAACCTTGAACTCCGTCTCCTGCCATGTGTATGAAAAGGGACCTATGCATGCAGAATAAATGATGGGTATTCCATGACTGCATGTGAGATAACAGCAAACAGATAACGTGGAATGGAATAGGTAGCTATGTGCCTGGCTTTGCCCTCCAGTTTTTACAGATTCTTCATGTATCCGTGTGGACACTTAGAGCTCACAAGCCAGCACAGAATGGGGAATCAGTCAATAATAGTATTTCTCATCTGAAATGGTACAGTCACCTCCATCCCAGGACTCTACTGCCTGTTCCTGATGCATCCACAGATCTGGCTTAGTTCAGGCGATGATGGTGAGCCTATATTCTCTATATTGTACAGGCATCGAAAGTATTAACAAAATCACCCTGCTCTCCTTCTCATGAATGATACACTTGATAGCTGCCAACTGAAAACATTACAGTACAAAAAGAGGGTTAAAAAAATAGGCACCATAGCCTTCAAAACTTACCAGGCAGTTGAACTGGGAAAAGACATCAGTGGCGGATTTAAAGCTTCTGCTTTGAATGCATGTGCTGCCTGCAGTGTTTGAGGCGTAGGCTGAGTCGGAGCCTGTACTTGTCTTGGGTCCTGAGCAGGTTTAATCCACCGGCTTGCTTCCGGTTTCATCCATTTCCCCTCGATTCCCCATCTTGCCAGGTACAGTTTGCAAATATCGTAGTTCATTGAGGAGTAATACAAAAGGTCCAGTACCAGCAAAACCACAACAAAAAACCCATAGATCCAGACGCCTAACAATGCACTGTAATTACTGCAAAAAGAGACAAAACAAAGGTTAATAATGAGCCATGACTATTTGCCACTCCAGTCAGCCACTTAATATTTTAAAATGCATACAGGTATTTTCTGTCTACCAGAATGTTATGTTTATACCTCTCTCTCCCTTTAAAAAGCTCAAAGCTGCTTACACGGGGACTCCCAATGTTCACACAGTGCTACCTATTTTCTTTACATAGTCTAAGTACAGTGGTACCTTGGTTTACAACCATAATCCGTTCCGGAGGTCCGTTTGTCAACCAAAACAGACTGTAACCCAAGGCGCGCTTTCGCCAATGGGGCCTTCAAAAAAAATTTCTTCGTAATCTAAAAATAAAAAAAAGTGAGTTGTAATCCAAAAAAAGTTTGCAAACCGGGACACGTACTTCCGGGTTTGACGTGTTTGTAATCCAAAATGTATGCAAACCAGACTGTTTGCAAACCAAGGTACCACTGTACCAGATTGTGGCTCAAAGTCACTCCAAGACATGGCTGCTTCTAAAAGCCAAATTATAAACTCAACAGGTTTTTGCTGGACTGTAACCAACTTCAGTCTGCAGGTTGGGAAGTTGTGTGTTGAAATGCTGCCCCCCACTTAAAAACAGCCATTTCCATTGAAGACTACAGAAAACACAGGTGGCAGGGAAAACTTTTTCCTTGACACCTAATTTGCACTGGTTTGTTTTTTAAAATTTTGGTTGATTTTATTATTTTTGAGACATTCAAGCATGCAACTGCTCAGTTCTGTAAGAACCGCAACACATGATTCTGCTGATTGTGTGGTTCAGTTCTAAGAATAACATGGATAGCGCTGAATTACTCCTTCTGGTCTTGCTTTCAGGTTGCAGAGGCCTCCATAAACACTAATTTAAGGGATTGCTTCCAAAACCCAATGTTGAAAGTGTCCCTCAGTGGGTGTTAATGAAAAGGATATAAAGTGTGTTGTGTGTCTGGTTGGGGCTGGAGCCAGTATACTTTTCTGTAAACTAAGTATTTTTATTCCATAGTTCTGCGTTGGTCAAATACCTCCACCCAACTCATTGCATTATGCCATTCTGCTCCCAGCCTGGTTCATTTCTATGCTGCCCAAGATCCTTTGCTGTTCAGGATGTCACACAAATTACATTTGGGTGCCACAAATTACCATTGGAATTAAACAACAGGGAGAGGAAAGCATTTTATATGTAAATTTTATTACTCCAGTAAGTAAGAAATTAAAGGACAAGAAAAACCTCTTTGAGCAAATTTTCTACTTTAACCAGACCTTTAAATGATTTCATCTCTTTCAAATACAATGGTTCAATTCTCACCTAGCAAGCTGCACAGCACTGGTCCTGTTTCAGAACAGAATGAGGCCATGTCAACATAAAGTAGGTTTTAGCCTGAAGTGGTTTATTATACATGCTTTACACTGCAAAGAATACATTTCAGCTGATATTTGCTTGTCAAAGTCTACTCTTTGATTATATAGAAAAGAGAAAGGAATTGGAGAAACCCCCAGGGTCTGTTGGGCCATAAACTGATGGTTAAGCAGGGCATGTCCAGCTTCACAGCTGATGAGTCAGGAGACAGAAGTACCAGTTAATGCTCTGGGCTCTGGTGTGGGACATGAGCGTTACAGCATTTTAAGCTGCCTGCTGGAGAACTACTTAGCTGGATTAGAACAAGGAAGAGGTTAAGACAAAGATTAGAGGAAAAAATGTCTTTGACAAGTTGTGGAAATAAATATTTATCACCATGGTAACTTTATCACTTCTTGTAATAGAAAACTTCCATAAGATGTCACAGAGCTGGCATCAAATCCCACAACATTCAGCAAAGATACATCCAGATGTTAATGGAACATGCTGAAAACATGGGGAGAAAGTCGCAAATTATGTTTTGGTGGAGGTGTGAAAAGATTATGAGGTTTTCAAAAGTTATTGCAGATATACAAGAAATAATTGGATACTACATTCAAATGAACTCTAGTTCATATCTTAAAGATGTGAAACCAAAATATCCAAATTTAGTTGGAGTTTTGTTAACTGCTACCAAACTATTGATAGAACCTAAATGGTATGCTTCTGTAAGTCCAACAGAATAAGTATGGTTTAATCAAATTTGGGTTTTTGGCACCATCACAAAATTGATGGTGGGGCAGGTAGACAAAAAATAATAATGAAAAAACCTGGAAATTTATGGTTCATTCTTATCAAGCACATGAAAATAGAACATTAATTAGAACTATTTAAGGCTTTTTCACTGCTGTCTTAACCGACTAATTAATTTGCAACATAGAACTTCTAAATATATGATACAGGTTTCTAGCACTGTATTTTATATTTGCACTGCATTACATTAAAGCTACATTTTAGTGGATGATGATATAAACCGTAATTTTAGTGAATATTGGAATATGTGATTTGTCAGCCATAGAATAAGTTTGCTATAAATTATAAAATTTTGAACAAGAAAAAAGCAAGAAGAAGAGGAGGAGGAGGAGGAGGAGTTTGGATTTGATATCCAGCTTTATCACTACCTGAAGGAGTCTCAAAGCGACTAACAATCTCCTTTCCCTTTCCCACAACAAACACTCTGTGAGGTGAGTGGGGCTGAGAGACTTCAAAGAAGTGTGACTAGCCCAAGGTCACCCAGCAGCTGCAGGTGGAGGAGCTCTTAACTACTACACCACACTGGCTCTCAAAAAAAGGGTGTGTGTGGAGCAAACATATCTGGTGGGATTTCAAAGACTAACAGGCTTATTACGGCACAAACATAGCTACCCCTCTAAAAAAGTTAGGCCAGTAGTTCACAGACACTGTGCTAAATGCAACCACCAAAATAATGTTGCTTTTCATTGGGAACAGTTACATGCTTACACTGCTAAAAAGAGCAAAAGAAATTTTTAAAAAGCTATTAGTGATGGAAGAAAAATGACTAAACTGATAGCGATGCTGATGAAATCACTCTTTTTTGGACTCATGAGCCATTGTTATTCAGAAAAAACAAGAAAAAACACAGTGCTATCAAGGGGAAGCCACTCACGAAACTTCTGCACAGGGAACCAATGTGGATCCCAAGTGTTTAGGAAGAAGGACAGGCAGGCCCCCTCTCGGACAAGAGGTTTTATTCCTTCCTTACCTTGCTAAAAGTCATGGCACTTGACAGCCTAACAAGAATTCAATGGCACAAATATTAGCACCTCTTTAGATCAGCATCATCTGTTTACCCATACACATACTTTTTAAGGCACTCATTTTTGTTCATTAAAAATCATTTAGTGAAAAATGAATAGTGTTTTAAAATGGCAGCTTATTAAATTGGCCGTATGTGGGATCTCCATCTGTTCCTTTAAAATAACATCTGCTTCCAACAAGCTAAAAATGAAAAGCCAGACATAACCGTGCCCCCCCCCCCAATGTTTTGTTTAAATCCTAAGGCAAAGTGGATATACTTGTTCCTTATTCCATTAAGCACTGTCTTTTAGTACGATCTGGCAGGTCAAGTAATGGAGTGATCATCAGACACCACTTTATTGTACTATCACAGCACTAAAGTGAAATTCTTCTGAGCACTGGGGCCTGTAAAGTCTGCCCAGGGTGAAAAGGGGTTTGGCGAGTTAGGAAATGGGTCTCTGTGGACTTATTGGGCCCCCTGCGCTAAAGCCTCTTAGTTTTCATCTGTCATAGCTCCCACTGACTTCTGACTGCAATAAAAAGGCTTCCATCCTTGACCTTATCCTGAAGTTCCCAGTGGCTGTGGAGGGACTTGACCTCTGCCTCAACTGCTTCACAAAATGCACAGATAGGGGAAATGTACTCCCTCTCAGTGCTGTTGCAAATTCATTACACACCATGTATAGGGGTACACCTCAGTCCCAGTAATACTGAAGATGCTGTTTATTAAAACAAGAAAATAAAAAGTGATGCCTTGTTTCCAATGAGGGAGTAAGACAGGGCTCAGGCAGCTTAATATTTTAAATGGCACAGCTGAACGAGAGAGAGAAAGTCACAATATGCCGAAGTGCAAAGCTCGCAAGGAATTCAGATGAATAATTCATCAAAGTTTTATAGCATTAATTCATAAAAGATCTTTAAAGCAAAATAAAATGTTAAAAAAAGGCAGGAAGTGGAATGAATTCAATTTGCTGCTAAGGTGCTTTGATGGTCACTACTCACATTAGATTCTAAGAATGTGCATGTAGTAATGAATTTATCACCGCATGAAACTTATGAACTAGGGAAAGGCTTCTTCTCATATTTAAAAGGTAGGAAAGATCTAGTGCAATACAATCAAAGCAGGATGTCAGCCATGATGTTGCAAATCAGCTAAGGGAATTCACCTGCAATAACTTCTCTGGCTAGATTCATATGACCAAACCACCAGGGTGTGACCATGTCAAAGTTAAAGTGCCTTTAAGCCACACTTAAAAGAGAATTAAGCATTTGTGTCTCTGATAGGGAGGCCCTGCAACACCCAATAAATGGCAGGAGACTTTATACTAGCAGTTAATTGCTCCCTGTTACCAGCACAACTTACTTGGGCTGGCTGCTTTCTACTCAGGAGGCAAATTCAGAACAGCAACTCAGAAAGGCAGTCTTGGTTCCTCCAAAGGAAATAAATGCTTATCGTTTCACACACTAAAATAAATCCTTTTGGGGTATATGGCACTGAAGTGTGTCTTAATTAAGCCTTCTCTGGAAAGTGCCACTAATAGAATCATAGAATTGCAGAGCTGGAAGGGACCATGAGGGTTATCTAGTCCAACCCCATGCAATTCAGGAATCTTTTGCCCAACGTGGGGCTCGTATCCACAGCCCTGAGATTAAGAGTCACATGCCTCCCTTCTTTTTCCAGCAGTGTTTCCAGCAATGTATGAGGAAATCAGGTGATATCATCATTTCCTTAACCTTTTTTACAATAAAATGGTGCTTATTCCCTAATAAATATCTTTAGCATCGGGGCGGCAGAAGAAAACTTGTTTTATTCCTGTAGTCAGGATAGTGCTATGATTTAAGTAAGTTCTTAAACTGCACGTGCTCAGAGCATCTGTTCCTAAAAACACAAAGCCAAGGTTGGCAAACAGTTTTTTCTTTGTTCTTAGCTCTAACGTATCAGGGATGCTGAAGCAGTTGCAGTGCGTGGAATAGCAGTGGAAGACACAAATGGGGTCTTCCCATCCAAAGCCACTCCAGGACTGTTAAGTCCAGGGTCTAAAATTACCACTAGCTACACTGCCTGCTTTAAAGCCTTCTCCTCCTGCCTGACGAGAAGGACAAGCCTAGTTGCCCAGGGCATAGCAATTACTGTGGATGTTTAGCTGGAACACCTGAGGTATAAATTATGCTTAATGAAGCACAGACAGTTTGATCTAACAGCAAAAGGACCTCTTCCTTCAGTTCAGTTTAGAATGAAGTTAATTACAGTTGGAAAATAAGCTAGCAGTGATAATGCACATCATGTCTGCAATAATTAAAAAAAAGTTGGAATGTATTATTGGATTAAGACTGAGCAGCATTTGCAGAGCCAAAACTTTTTGGTGCAGCGGATAACATGTTCTCCGAAACTCTCTCCAAAAACTTTGCATTTTCACACCATTTTGCTCCTGCTTTCCTACCCCACCTCCTTGCAGATTTAGTGCATTTAAAAATGAATTAAAAGATGGGTCCACTGACTGTGTGATACAAACAATGAGGAGTCATGAAGCCAGCTGGGTGATGTCATGGCAGCATGCAGCCAATCAGATTTAGCCACAAGACAATACCTTGAAACAAAATTGTCCCTGCCCTCCCTCTGCATAAAAGTACTACTTCTAACAAAAATATACAAATATGCAATGTAGAATTAACACGCACACAGCCTCGTTTCAGCTCAGCCCTAGCATATACAACACACAGAGGCAGCCTATGTGATGCCCTGCAGATGTTGTGTTCTACAACTCCCATTTGCCCATGAAGATGGGAGTTGGCTCCCTCCAGATGTTTTGAACGACATGTTGGCTACCTCTGCTTCAGCACTTCACTTTCTCTTGGTCACACGGACAACAAGAGGTTCTGCCAAGGGAAACTTGTGCATTGGTGCCATAAAGGTTTTATGAGAAGAGTTGGGGAAATCTCCGGCCTGTGGACTTAATTATGGCCAAGCCATACTCATCTTCCCCACACCTGATGCCCTATGTGATTCCAGGTGTGGAGCAGGTAGAGACTGCAAGCACAGCCAACAAGCTGGTCAACAGGGCTAGCAGAAAGCACCGTGTCTTTGTCCACAGGTTTAGATTTCAAACTGCATGCATGAAACATTGTGTTGTCAGGTGATTGACCTTTCCCACCTGTCAAATTTGGTATCTAGAGGGTGGTGTAGATAAGGATGTGGCCCTGCCCACCAGGTCTAGAACCTGCTTCCTGTCCAAAGGTAACCTCAGAAGCTCTGTTGTGTGCTCTCTGTAAGACAAATGCCCTACTGGAACAGTTAAATGAGAAGACGGACTTGAGGACTAATGCGGTCAGAACTTTTGAACAGGCATTGGGAAATTATATGGAGCCCACCCAGGAACTAAATCAGGAGTGTGCCCTGACAGAACAGATGAGAGAAGAGGACGTTGCTGAATCTTGGGCCCCAGAGATGGAGGGAGCTGCGGCCCTGCAGGTACATGAGCTTTTGGATTTGACAAATGAAGTTGGAAAAAACCAGATTTGGAAAGTTAAAGTTTGGACTGGTTTGGAAATGGGGGGTTGGATTGACCCCCCTATGCAGGGATGTTTGGACTTTCCGAGTCTGGCAATGGGCCGTGAGATGTTTGGAGCTGTGGGGGCTCTTAATTTTGGAGGGATTCTGAAACATGTTTTTAAATATCACATGGAGTTTAGTCCGGACTATGGAAAAGGGGCTGATTTGTTGAAAAGGGTCAAAAACATTACCAAGCTGGAGTTCCCACGAGTGAAAGGAAAATATGAAGAAGAGCTGCGGAAGGGACATGGAAGAGACTTAAGGGCCTCGGATATAAGGTTACCAGGTTAATGTGCTAGATCAATGGGATAAAAAGGACTGACAAAACCCGGGACCAGGAGGAAGGGACACTGGATGAAGATTGGATTGTTTTTACTTCTTTTTTTATTATTAGGATTGTTTTATAAAATTGATGAATGTTAGAAAAATGTTGAAATGAAATTATTTGGCTCTAGCAAAAATGTTTAAAGAATTAAGTAAGAATATTATGGTTATGAGAAGTTGGTAAAAATAAGATTTAAGTTTTAAGGTTTTCTATAAGATAAGATGAAAATAGATTAAGGTAATGTAATGACAGAATATTATGAATTATGGAAAGGATTTGCTGCGATAATTATTAACTAGGATACAAAAAAGGGGAGGAGGAGGAGGTCAAAGAAAGAAGGTAATGAAAGTTGAGGATTTGAGAATGATGGATTTATTTTTTCTTTTTCTTTTTCTGCTTTGTCTTTTTTTTGTAATTCTAAAAAATCTTCAATAAATATCATTTAAAAACAAAAAAAACACAAAGGTAACCTCAGCCATTAAACAAAGGGCCCCCTCTTTCCCTCTCAAATTAAGATGGGGGTGACTGAGATCTCACCAGCGCTGCCCTTTGCAGTGCACTCAAGTTCCATGTAAGCAAAGTTTTTTTCCAAAAATGGGGAGGGAAAGGGGCATAACCACACCCTTGGTGACAGTCACATTCTCTAGGCAGGCAGGCAAGCAGGCAAGGAAAGCTCTCACCAATATAGACATTATATTTTAAAAGCAGAGTGATGATTCCATCATTTAGAGACGGGGCTTTTGATGCCATTCCCTCATCCCACCCCCTCTCCTGGGGGGCGAAGCTGCCATTAGGAAACAACAACGGAGAGGAATTCAGGATTTCAGCATAGTTGTGATTGGGAGACAGTGTATCCACACTGACCTCCCCTCCCTGGAAAAAGGAGAAGTTCATGTTGTTTCTAACTCAGGTCTTGTTTAATGGAAAATGTATTATTATTTTTTAAGCAACAAGTTTTTAAGCATTAAAAATTGACACCCTAATGCAATACATAGTACAGTTATCACATCCGTGCTGCAAATTAGGGAGCTAAATAGGTAAAGGTAAAGGTACCCCTGCCCGTACGGGCCAGTCGTGTCTGACTCTAGGGTTGCGTGCTCATCTCGCTCAAGAGGCCGGGAGCCGGCGCTGTCCGAAGACACTTCTGGGTCACGTGGCCAGCATGACGAAGCTGCATATGGCGAGCCAGCACCAGTGCAGCCACGGAAACGCCGTTTACCTTCCCGCTAGAAAGCAGTACCTATTTATCTACTTGCACTTAGGGGTGCTTTCGAACTGCTAGGTGGGCAGGAGCTGGGGCCGAAAGACGGGAGCTCACCCCGCCGCGGGGATTCAAACCGCCGACCTTCTGATCAGCAAGTCCTAGGCGCTGAGGTTTTACCCACAGCGCCACCCGTGTCCCTACCAGGGAGCTAAATACAAATGGCTTAAAGACAACCCTGCAGTGTAGTCCACTGCTGGTATTGTAAACTGGAGATGCAGCTGAGGCTGAAAGGGCAATTGTCAACAAAAGCTTCGTGGTGAGAACCCCCACCTCTTTTTCTACGAAAAAGCACTGTCAACAGCAACAACTCTGAGTAGCAACGGCCTTTCCCAGTCTTGCTACCCAAGAAAACCTGAGCTGTGCCTCGTCTTTCTTTTTTTTAAAAAAAAGGCACACCATGTTTCCTCCACTGACACATGCTTTTCTGGGATTTGAACAGAGAACCTCTTGTCATCAAAGTAAGTACCGTGTCTCACTGCACTTGAAATACCATGATCACACGAACACAAGAGGTCAAGCAGATTGAAGCCTTCAGCTGATTCATACAGCCTTCAGACATCTATCGCTTGCCAGTTAAGAGGACTTTTCAACTGGTTTTGCCAGACACCTCCTGGTCCAGTTCTAATGCTGGTCCTGCTTTTCAAGTGAGGTGAAATGGAGAGCATTTGGGCTGCTTCCAGTTATTTAGTGGTAAGGGGAAAACAATTTGTACATGCTCAGTGGCACCAGGACCTGAGTTTGAATACAACATGTGTAATGTGAACAAGACTTCGGTCTCAGCGCCTCCTTCCCTTTTCCTCCTCTGGCACAGCCTTCACTTCCACTTTAAACCAACCACACAGATCATCATTTTGCCTGAACTGGGACAAATTCTGCTTTAATTTAACTATGGCTTGTTGAAAGAAGCCAAGTTGAAAATGGAAGTGGATTCTCCCAATCTTTTTCCTTGCAGCTGTGCCAGAGGAAGAAAGGGGAGGGGCAAAACAGTTTGGATGAAATGACAATCTGTGGTTAGTTAAAAATAGAAGCAGACACTTCCAAGCTCCTCATCATCGCTGTGCTGGAGAAGCAGAGGGGAGACAGAGTGAGCCAGCTCTCGTATGCAAAGTGCGATTTCCAGTCCAGGCCACTATTACTACTTCATCTTGCCCTTGGCACTAAAAAGAAGATTTGGGGCGTTCTGGCTCAAATGCAAACTTGCTTTCAAAATTTGTCTAATATTTCCTTTTGATCTTGATACTTCTTCAAAAAGTATTCTTAGAAAGGCATTTTTCAAAAATAAAGAGAGTTATGGGATCGAGGCAATAAAACAGGCCACAGAGTTAAAATTAAGATATAAAAAGGGATTCTGGGGGCAGATTACACTCCACAGACACACAATCAAATGCACCTTGCTGTTTAAGTGCAAGTGATTGCAAGTAATTAATATGCAAATCATGCACAAATTTAAAATAACAACTAGTCCTGTGAAACATTTGTGCTGTCCAGAAAGGCCATTTCCCTCTCCAGTGTTCTTCTCATCTTTGTCAACTTTTTTTTGAGTTATGGAAACACATTTCTGTTTTCTGCAGATGCAGTACAATTTTGATTACATCAGGATACATTTTGGGGAGAGGGGGAAGAGGAAAAGTACCCCAGCTTATTTACTTACTTGTGCATATATCCATCTGCATTCCCTGTTAGGTTCATCTGCATAACAGTCTGAAACTCCGTCTCATTACAGCAGTATTTAAACACGGTGTTGTTATGGTGACAGCAAAAGATGTACGATTTATTGTCAGAAAGACGTGGACAGTGGAATCCAAAATGGGAGCGGCCTTTGTAGTCTGTATATGGCTCACAGACTCGAAAATGTGTGGACAGAGCTGTAAGGCAAATAGCAATTTTCTTTCTAACTCAAATTGCAAAAGAAAAACAATAGATTCTGCAATATAAAAACTATTCACCGATTCAGCAGATGCTTGATGTATGCTTGTTACAAAGTCACAAGTTAGTTAAATGTTAAGGAACGAATAAATTGAAAGCTGAACTTCCGTAGTTAGGATATAATCCAAACAAAGGTTAAACTCTTTGACATGCCATTGATTTTTCATGTGAGAGATATAGCCCTATACTTTCTTTTCCCTTTGAAATCCATGGGACAAAGTGGTTAACTCTGGTGGAATCATACCCTTAAATAACTCCAGTACATTGATTTCCATACGTTTACTTTATGATTTAGTTGGATAGCCCACATTGTTTACAGCTAATGGTCTTACGTAAAAAGGAAAATGTACGTCAGTGATATTCCAAAAATCAAAACAATCCTTAATTTACTTGGAACCCCAGGATTAGTCCCTGCAGTTAGAAATTGCTTTTTAAAATCAAAGCATACCAAGGTTGCTTCAGATGACCTGTTTATGGAACATTTATCCTGGTTTCTTTGCACCATGTTTGTGGGGAAGTTGTATGATGTTGTGTCAAACAATTGTCACCCCACACCTTCCAGTGTATTTCTCTACCACTTTCCATTTAACAAAAAGGCCGATTTTTTAGGGTGAAGCAGTTTACTTGTATAAGATAAAACTCCACTATTGAAGGTCCTGGGGACCTGTCTTTTTTTTCACCTGGCCACCTCATTTCAGGTATACATCAAAGACAGAATGCACATGTTTTGACCTCACAAGACCTAACTATTTATAGATGGAAATTAACTGCTGATTCACAATGTCGTTTTTGACCTTGGGTACAAAAGTCAAGTGATCCTGGCAAAAGATGCACACCACGCAATCAGTTGAGAATGGAACGCTCACACTTGGATGGGAAGGTTTCTCTGCAACATATTCAGAAAATGAAAATTTGGAAAGGACCAGGCTCTGCTCCTCTCTGCGTGGTATGGCAAAGCCCAGCCATGGAAACAGGAATGAACTTTTCAGAGAGGCTGATTCTATACATATTTTGCTATTAAACTCCAGCACTTCTTGTACTCTAGTTTGAAATATAGCTCAAAGTAAGCTCTAAATAGCTTTGCATGTGGTAACAATTAAAAATAAAACAAAGAAAGAAAGAAACAGGAAATATGACTACTGCATGCAACAAGAAAAAAGATATATGAACAGGATACTGCTAGCAGTGTTTTAAAAACACACAAAGCAATTCAGCCCCCAACCTGACACGCTGGAGGGGATTTGGATGGAGGGAATCTGCCCTTCTTTCCAGCCATGCCTGGCTACAGAAGCTTCTACCGGCAGGGAAGGTCTGCCATCAACAGGGAAGCTCTGACAGTGAGGAGTGCCCCATTGTGCCTGCCCAAACTGTGGGTGAAACTGTACGCCCCTTGCAGTTGTTGTTGTTGTTTAGTCGTCTTAGTCATGTCCGACTCTCCGTGACCCCATGAACCAGAGCATGCCTTGGAAACTCTCACTTTCAAACAAAGCATCTGAAGGGAGGAAGGGAGATAGGGATGACCCTGCTGCCATCATCTAACAGCAACAGGTCTGATCTGGGTCTCCCCACTGTACCAGCCTAGGAGTTGATGCAATGAAGGGGCATTTCTCCTTTCCCTACTGCCCCAGTTTCTGCCCTAGTTGGTGTGAGCACTGGGGTTGTAGATGCTGCACTGGCTATGTCACTCCATCAACTCCTGCTGGTGCTGGCCAGGTGTTAGGACTGCATCCTAAATTAGTAAAAACATTGGGCAACACAACGTACAATTTTACTTTGCTACGAAGAGAACATGAGGGGAGGAGAATGCAGATTTCATTGCAAAAGTAAAGACTAATGGCTAACAGGGGCCAAATATTTGCTGTGCTCATATAACAGATGGCATCATTAGATTCCTATAAAGCAGTTTCCAAACTATTAGAAAAAGGACAGATGCAAAATATCACTATTTTCCAGACCTCAGATAAGATTTGTAAAATAAAAAAAATATGAACATCCATTGGCATCCCCCCCCGCCCCCCTTAGCTCAGGCAGATTTCATTTGACAGTTAGTCTTCTTCTGAAAAGAAAGAAGTAGAACATTTTTGGAAAAGTAATTCCAGTCTTTTATATCTCCATCAAAAGAACAATCGTTTTCTACTGCTGTGGTTCTACAGATATCTGGATTAATATTAAGTGGATGGGAGAGAACACGACTACACAATGGTCAGCACTGCTGCTGTAGATGGTGGAGTAGTCACCACCCCAGATGAGGAGCTGTAGGCCTATGTTGTCCTACTATTTCACTGAGAACGGCTGTAACTGCTCTGAACAGTCTCAGCAGCCCTGGAAGACAGGGCATTAGAAGTGAGAAGCAGTTTCTGAGCGCCAGAGATGGCTTTGCTTGTTGTGCTACTGATACAGGAGAGGGTAGGGTTACATGCTTGTGCAGTTGGTGCCTGATGTTTGTTTGGTCCAAATTAATTAGTTACTTGGTTAATTTGTAGCTCAGATATTCTAAGAAGTTGGATTTAACATCAGAAGTCCTCATGATAAATATGTATTTTTTAAACTCTTCCAGAAAGGAATATTAGCAGACCTGGGTTTGACCCCTGTCAATCTCAACCTGCTCCAGATGTCCTCAGAACCACTGCTACAACTTCTCATGGAGTGATGGGGTTGGAAAAGAAGCTCTACCTGTCATCTTTATTCTTCCCATGCCCACTCAAGGACCGTACTCTGCAAATGACACCACAGCCAACAGGATAGAGACCATATTTGCTTTAAGTACCATCAGGTTATATAGAACTATGATGTCAAATGGCAAAGGGAAGAACTTAAGGAAGAAAAGATAGGCAGCTGATGAAATTAACTGGCTGACTTACCTAGGTTTCTATGTTGGAAATGCTATAAACAGTTCATTGGTAGAATTGCATAGTTTCACAGACCACTTGACTGCTCAGTTTTGGGCTATGTCAAAATACTAAACATAAAATGCATACAAAACAAAGCTCCATTTTAGATTGAGGAAGGAAGATCTGCGGGTATATTCTGTGCCAATACACATCTGGACACAAATTAGATTCCCCAGCACATCTGGTGCTTATCTGGATGAGACTAAACTTAATGACACTTTTCCATTCACATTCATGACCAAGTGAAATAAGTCTGACTATAGTATAGCTTGACTGGTGTACAAAAATAGCAGGCTATATTTAACAAAATCCTACTGAATTTTAGTTCTTCTGAATCCTGCTTAATAAACCACTGAAATTAATGAATGTAAGTAAGTCGTATCCATTAACTTCAGTGGGTCTACTCTGAGTTGAATACCCAATATTTAGCAGATATCCTTATCTCTGCAAAACTCTTGGACTGATTCTTTAAGGTGTTTCTGCTGCAGAAAACTAAATGGAAGCATTCTTCTAGAATTTAAAAAGAAACCCAAGCCAAATAAAATACAAGGCTTACCTGCTGGCAAAAGCAAGGAGAAAACAACCATCAGCGTATTTAAGGATTGTAGACCACAACTTGTCATCGTTTTGTTTTCATCAATCCATTTGAGAATTACCTGCTTAACAAAATGATATTTCAGAGTTAAGTGGCATCAGTGATTTGCATGTGTGCATTCATTTAACTTAAAAAAATGTTTTTAATGCTTTCTTCAAACTGTAATGCATGATGAGAACCCAAGGCACAATTCTGCAACAACTTTCACACATGTAAGGTTTGCACACTTAAATGCTACTGAACATGCTCAGCTGCTATGTATAAATTTGATAGGGAATCTTTAAAGAGCACATTCAGGAACAGCAAGGTGGAACAGAAGTATATCCATGGCCCAGTATACCTAAAGAGCATCTCCACCCCCATCATTCAGCCTGGACACTGAGGTCAAGCTCCGAGGGTCTTCTGGCAGTTCCCTCACTGCGAGAAGTGAGGTTAAAGCAGAGGGGCCTTCTCGGTAGTGGCACCTGCCCTGTGGAACGCCCTCCCATCAGATGTCAAGGAAATAAACAACTATTTGACTTTTAGAAGACATCTGAAGGCAGCCCTGTATTGGGAAGTTTTTAATGTTTGACGTTTTAGTGTGTTTTGATATATGCTTTGAGCCACCCAGAGTGGCTGGGGAAGGTATAAATTGCCAGATTGGCAAGGTATAAATATAATATATATTTGTTATTATCATTATCATCATGCTGTTGGCAATGATCCCTGTTAGAATATATTAGGTCAGACCATAGCCTCCTCTATCTGCACTGTGGTCTGCAGTAGTGTGTTCAGATAATTCCCAATTGTTGGTGCAGACAACTTCATGGTCCCAGTTATCTCATAGTGTTGGGAAGCAACCTAGGCATTTCAGGCTACAAGTGGTCAGGTAAAAATGTGTTTCCTTTGATTCCTGGCCAATCGGTGGTGCTAGCTGCCAGGAAGAAGGCACACATCAACTGGGCAATGCAGCGAAGAGATCATCTTGATTTGCATACTATGCAAATAAGGCTGCCCAGGCTTAACACTATATAGGAAGCTTCCTTATGCAGAGTCAGACCATTGGGTCCTGCTAATTCAGTGTTGTTTACCCTGACTGGCAACAGCTCTTCGGGGTTTCAGACACGAGTTTTCCAAGCTGTACCTGAAGATTCTGGGGACTCAACTTTCTGGGAACTTTCTGCATGTAGAGCAGATGCTTTACAACTGAGCTACAACCTTCTCCCCATTTCTCTGTTTCCTTTGAGCTTCTTCCTTTTCCATTCCATTCTCTTATCTTAGTACTTCCCAGCCTTCTCTTTCCTGCCTTTTCTTTTCCAGATTTTTAATTTTCACAGAACTTCCACCTCCCTCTCTGTCCCTTTCTCTTTCTTCACACCAGAGCAAGTCCAAACATTTTGCTCCTCACAGGCTCCAAAAGACGTTGGACTGGCTCCTTGAGATTCAAACTGTTTCCATCCCTCACCATGACATATAATGAAATTAAATGTATACATCAAAACATAAAATTGGACATTTAGTACTCTGAAAATGAAGGAGGTGGGGGAAGCTGCCTTTGTTCTCTTGTTCCTCCCTTAATAACAAAAAATAAACCCCAAACATCCTTTCTATCTCCCTGAACCCAGCACATATTGAAACTTTGGATTATAACCTTAGTGGACCTTTTGTTTTTTGCTCCTGCTGTACAGCAGCCTATGCATTAACTATATTGAATTTCTTATTATAATAAAACTAAATATTTATATAATGCATTTCAAGTAAATGGCTGCTAGTTCAGTAATTCCCACAAATGTTTTGCAAGGTATGTAGGTTAGTACATATTGGGGGGTGGGGTGGGGGGTGGGTTGTAACGGAGAAAATAGCAGCTGGCTCAGTTTGTAGCCAAGGCCAAATTTGAAACTTGGACCCCCCAGCAGGAGCAGACTTTGGTAATATGGCACCCTGAGTAAGGACAAAATTTGGCACCCCCTCCTAAATATTTCTTATTTTCACAATAATTCCTTTTGGTGCAGTTGCTTTGTTAGGAATCTTCTCAGTAGGTACCTGTAGTATTATCATTAATAATAATAATAATAATAATAATAATAATAATAATATGCACCCCCTTGACTCAGCACCCTGTGTGGGGTGAACCACCCACACCACCCAAATTCTGGCGCTGCTCCCAGTTCTAACCCCACATTACCCCCAGGAATACCAATGGACTAGGTCAGGGACATCCAACTCCCAAGAGACTGTGATCTACTCACAGAATGAAAAACTGGCAGTGATATACCCCTTTTCGGGGGGGGGGGGTTCAGGTTTGAACTTTTTTGCAGGGGAAAACTCGCTCACAGAAAGATCGCTTAAGGAAACAGTCAGCATCACAACAAAAACTCTGTCTTCCGTCCTAGCGTTCATGTGCAAATGGAGGACAAGGCGAGGGGTGGGACTGGATGCTCATTTGCAACCGCAAAGGAAAAGGAGCCAGTGATCAACCGCGATCTACCAAAACCTCTTGGGGATCAACCAGTTGATCCCAATTGACCAGTTGGACATTCTTGGACTAGGTGACCAAGAGGCATATTAGGAGTGCACACTTGCAGCCAGCCACGAAACTCATGGGCCGACCTTGGGCCAGCCACTGACTCTCAGCCTTTCAGGGCAGCTGCCCGAATAAAGCAGGGAAGAGAAAGCCATGTTTGACACTTTAAAGCTCCTTGGAGGAAAAGATGGGGTATACATGCGGCAACATCATCCAAACCCTTCAGAGAATAATGGGAATTTGTTGTGGCAAAGAGCTCTGCATTGTGGCATGCCAGGACAGGTGGGGAGGTGGGGACAGGAGGGAAATGCTGCTCCCTCTGTGGACATTTGGGTGTGAAGAAAAAAGTAGGCATTGCAGATTAGGGGGCAGGCCAAATTTGAACTGAGTTAGAAATAACCTCATCTTGGAGGGAAACAGCTCAGCCTATTTCTGAACTCATTCAAGGTAGTGGGGCTGCGCACTTCTAATTGCTCCAGCTCTCTCAGGTGCTTTCAATAACCCCAAGTCATTCTCTTGCCTATTAAAATGATTTACACCAATCCGACAACCTTTATGAGTAAAATATGAATCTTTGAAGCTATGACTCTAGGCTCCTAGCAGGAACGCCTGTCATTGCCATTATTACTGGAGATTTCATTACAGCCATTAAGAACTTTATATATATATATATATATATATATATATATATATATATATATTAGTTGAGGGTTGAGGGTAGGATGTAAATCACTTTAAAATCTGTTTATATGCAGATTGTGTAACTTATAATATTGCCAGAGGGATCATTTGCAAAGGTTGTGAAACTCTCAGATGAATTTGGCCAGATCTCTGGGTACAAAATTCATTTCCAAACATCAGAATAATTGGGGGTATCATATGCAGAAGAATCCTAAGTATGACATTGCCAAAGACATCTAATTCCATGGAAGAAAATCTCAGCTAGATACGTTGGGATTTGGATAACTCAGGAGTTTAATGACTCTAACCTGATAAAAGGAGACAAAGGGTAAAAGAGGATCTGTCCAGTCTGGAAAATTCAACACTTTCTCAGAAAGGAAGAAACTCAGTTATTAAAATAAGCATAGTACAATGTATTTCGTTTCTATTGTTAAAAGTCTCCTTAGACTGAATGATTAATTGATTAATCCAGAATTATATCTAACATACTTCATCAGCAATTAAAAATAGGTGGCTGGCATTCCTGAATATCAAACAATATTATAACATGGCCATGCTTGGGCACCTAAAATATGGGTTAAAAAAATGATCTATCAGCAGACGTTTTCCTGCTACTGGCAAAAGCCTGGGTTTATCACCACTCACTACAATTTACTACAATGCTGAATGTGATAAGAAAGTCTTATTGGGTGACATGAAGCTTTAAGGAGAGACATGGAATGCTCAAATTAGGATAATAATAAAGGAAGGATTGGTAAATATATTTTATCAGGTGAAATGGGATCCTGGGTCAAGAGCAGCTGCTCTTTCTTCAATATTTCCAAATGGGCATATTACAAATAGATTACTAAGGCTTCACATTTCATTAAGGAATCACACAAGTTTTGAAATATTAATTTCAACTGCTAACCAACTGCATAGCGCATAACGCCTGATTTATAAAATAATAGCAAATTTAGGACCATATGGAAACTATTGAGTGAAATAGGAATTTGATATGTATCACTGGATAAATGCACATGGTTTGGGAATCTCAAAGAAACATTTCTACAATATTAGATAGGTGGTATTTGATACCAGCCAGAATAAACAAGATCTGTCCAAGGCTTAGTGGTCAGGGCTGGAGATGCAAGGCACCTGGAACAAATACATTTCATATTATATGGGCTTGTCTATAGATTAAGACATTTTGAGAAACTGCACTGACAGAAATAAAATATTATGGGTCAAGATCTCCCCAGAGATCCTGTTGCAACGTAGATTTGCCATCTTAAGGGTACAGTATTAAATGATGATTTTGAACTGATAGTTCATGTACAGGTTGAGGCTAAAATGGCAATATACCAAAACTGAGAAAATACTCTTTCGCTTTCTACTGATTTATAGTTGATCAGCAGTTGGGATATGGCTTCTTTGATGAAATTGGTAACTATTACCAGGGTAAGAAGAGGTAGGCAGCAAAATAATACGTTTCTGAAAAATGAATTCTGTTTGTTCTTTATTGGAACAACAAAGTACAAGATTTGATCAATATAAATCCATATTATTTTTTGTGGGAAAGGGTATGAAAGTATATAGCACCACACAGTTGGTTTCCACTTGAATTTTCAGTGTTACACAACTTGGTTTTGTTTCAGTATTATAGAACTTGGCTTGTAGCCTTTAAGCCACGCAGAATGTGATGGCTATTAGAACAAATAGGAACATCAATCAGTCATCGGTTTCAGCTGTTGAGGCTGAAGAACACTGGAATAAAAAATCCCTATTAGCTAGTTTGTGTTAGCTGTCTGTGGAAGCACAGGTACAACTCCAGTTACATAAGTTCGGCCTCCTTGTTAGCTACATCTATGAACAAGCAGCCATGATTAAAAGACAGAATGAATACACCAGGGAACCGAATGAACAAGAGGCAAACTTTTAGTCCAGTTCCTAAAGAACAAAATGGAATGCCATTTACTCATGTTATGGTGAGAAAATGACTAGCGTGTGGGTCAATGCTCACCCCCTTTTTCCTTCCATCATTCATTATAGGCGTATTAGGATCTACGGTATGTACAGTGGTGCCCCGCAAGACGAATGCCTCGCAAGACGGAAAACCCGCTAGACGAAAGGGTTTTCCGTTTTGGAGGTGCTTCGCAAAACGAATTTCCTATGGGCTTGCTTCGCAAGACGAAAATGTCTTGCGAGTTCCTGCGGGGTTTTTTTCCTTTCCCCCCCCTTTTCCCCAAGCCGCTAAGCCACTTATCAGCTGATCCGCTAAGCCGCTAAACAGCTGATCGCTAAGCCGCTTATCAGCTGATCCGCTAAGCCGCTTAACAGCTGATCCGTTAAACCACTAAGGCGCTTATCAGCTGATCCGCTAAGCCGCTTAACAGCTGATCCGTTAAGCCACTAAGCCGCTTAACAGCTGATCCGTTAAGCCACTAAGCCGCTTACCAGCTGATCCGCTAAGCCGCTTATCAGCTGATCCGCTAAGCCCGCTAATAGCGCTAATCCGCTAAACCGCTAATGGGCTTGCTTCGCAAGACGAAAAAACCGCAAGACGAAGAGACTTGCGGAACGGATTCTTTTTGTTTTGCAAGGCACCATTGTACAATCTATACTTGGCTTTCCGACTAAACACCTGTATTGAAGGGGAGGGGGGCATGTGCTTTGCACAGTTAGCTCTGCCTGCATCCCTAGTGTGTTCCTTCGCAGATATTCTAACGTGCTTTGGCACGTATTGAACTCTGTGTTTACTCAGGAACTAGAAACTGCATGGCCAGGAATTTATTGTCACTAAAATCTGATTTGCCCATTTTCTCTGGACTGATTTTTTGGGGTGGAAAACAGCAGGAAGGAAAGGGGTTTAAAGAAACCCCCATCAATGCACTGGCGGAGGAAAGGGGGGGCAGGGGGAGCACACCGCCCCGGCACCATTGGGGAGGGGGGTACCATCGCGGCCACCCCCTGACACCCCACCACGCCCCCGCGGGCAGCACACCACACCCCCAGGATGGACGCCACACCCCCACAGGTGGCATGCCACGCCCCCAGGACACACGCCATGCCACCGTGGGTGACGTGCCACGCCCCTGGGATGTGCGCCAGCCACACCCCCTCCTGCTCTCCACCCCCAGTGCTGGAGCATGCAGCTTCGCCACTGCATTAATGTATCCTTCCTAGACGCATCCTGAGGAAAGAATCACAAAAGTCCATGTAAGGGTAGTCTGAGCATAAAAAATAGAAGGGTGTGTGTGCGCTCATGTGCACACATATACACAAATTTATGCACTGAGGTGCACACTTGATGCATCTGGCTAAATGAGTTTTGGGGTATGAAAGCTTCTCTGCATTGAACTTTGTTAAGTGTTTAAGATACCACCATCTTTTTTTCCTTTTTTCTAAACCTGATTGTCAAGATTCATTGGTATATTCCAAGTAGTGGATAGTTTTTCAGATATCTGCTACATTTCAGATATTCATTTAAAAAAGTCATCCATCAGAAAATGATAGGGCAGAAAGTCACCCAAATTTGATGTTTACCATCTTAAATTTTTTAGGAGGGCACAAGGAACTGCCAGAAGATTCTGATATTTATTAGTAAATCTGAAGCCTGAGTGCTCTTGGTAAATGATTGAATTTCGTCATCATTTATATTGGCTCGTTTGTAAATGTTATTTTTAAAAAGTCTTATGACACCATTTCTCATATTTACTGTTACTTTTCAAAACCATTTTTGTTTTCTTTGAAAACATCAGTCATGTCATGCATTTACAATATCATGTTCCAGGGTACAGGGCTTGTAAAATCAACAGCATATATAAAAATCATGTGCAGCATTGTTGAAGAAAACATTTCTGATTATCTACAAACAACACAATTTTGGAATATGACCGAAAAGTATTCATATAAACATGTTCATATACCATGTTCATATCAAGTTACTCTTCAGATAACAAACTTGTCTAAATTGACCAGTAACCATTTAAATATAAAATCTTCTGACTAGACTTCTAGAAAACTCTGAAACGAACAAAGAAATCTATCCCTTGGTGAATTGTATTAATTACAGAATATAGTGCACATTAGGCCAAACTGAAGACAATCTGTATACACAGACAATCATTTGTTGACCTATTTAATTTTTTTACCAGTCGGACCTATTAAAAAATTTACTGGTGAAATAATAGTAATAATAGTAACAATAGTAATAATAATAAAATATTATTTCAATGCCACCCATCTGACTGGGTTGCCCCAGCTACTCTGGGTGGCTTCCAACCTAATAAAAGCACAACAAAAAAACAAACATTAAAAACTTCCTGATATATTATTCTGTGAGCATAGTTTGAAATCTAAGCTGAGTAAATGTGTGTCTAGCAGGAAAAGAAGTTAATTCCTACAGAAATGCAGCCTTTTTATAGATGATTTAATTTTAACGTACCAAACTGAGGACTCAGAATTCTTCATATATTCAAAGTCCATCTTGGCATCTTCAGTAAAAATTACATCGCAGATTTTTGGGTCAAAAATGTCCTGAGATGAAATAAAAGGAAAACAATGAATAACTCAACAGCAAATGGTTAATGGCCATCTCATCCTTTGCTTTTTCCTGTAAGACCAATTGCAGTCATCAACAGTCGTCAACAGTTTTACTACACCTATCAGCCAATCACCCACTCCCACCACCTTTCTGAGTAATACCTCTCCCCACCCTCTCACTATATATAAAGGTCTGGTGACTTCTGTTTCAGTGTATCTGAAGAAGTGTGCATGCACACAAAAGCTCATACCAAGAACAAACTTAGTTTGTCTCTTAGATGCTACTGGACAATTTTTGTGTTAGTTGTTGGTCCCTGATTTTAATTTTTGTAGCTATTTTGTAGATAGATAGATAACCACTTTGATATTTCTTACGATATGGTGGTATACAGTGGTACCTTGGGTTACAGACGCTTCAGGTTACAGACTCTGCTAACCCAGAAATAATACTTTGGGTTAAGAACTTTGCTTCAGGATGAGAACAGAAGTCGCGTGGCGGCGTGGCGGCCCCATTAGCTGAAGTGGTACCTCAGGTTAAGAACAGTTTCAAGTTAAGAACGGACCTCCATAACAAATTTAATTCTTAACTGTACAGAATTTTTTTATATAAATAAACATACATCTGCAGGTCTAAAAAACACAGTTCTGCTAAATATTGCTCACAAAGTTGTTCTGCTAGGAAGTTCCAAGTACAGTGGACGCTCGGGTTGCGAACGTGATCCGTGCGGAAAGCATGTTCGTAACCCGCTGCATCTGTACACGCGCGGGTTGCAATTCTGTGCATGTGCAAAGCATGATTTCGTGCTTCTGCGCATACGCTGAAACCCGGAACTAACCTGTTCCGGTACTTCCGGGTTTGGTGTGGTGCTCAACCCGAAATCGCACAACCCGAAGCATCTGTAACCCGAGGTATGACTGTAGAAAGGAGTGGCAAGGGGAATAGCTAAGGCACTGTAGGGAATAGGAGACATTTGGCCAGCTGAGAGTGGGAGCTGGACAAGCAAATGCAATGGGGAGATATGGGGGCAAGGCCATCGTGGGCTTTGAGGTTAAACAGTAAAGTGTGTTGGGATCTGGGAGCAAACAGAAAACCAATGTAGTTGTTTAAGGAAAGGGTGCCACATGATCAAAGTGATAGGAGAGATTCAACATTTTGGGACCTGTGTGCTCAGTATAGGCATGAGGGCCAAAGTAAGGCAACCAAAGACAAACAGAGAGGAGGACGGGAGAGTTTTATTTTTGCCAACTATTACTACGGCATTTATTTCTAAAGCACAACAAATCTATTAGTGTATGGGTTTAATAGGGGACACCCCATGATCAGAGCAACAAGAGAGCTTATTGGCTTTGGCAGCAAAGTTTACTGCAGAGAAAACAAGTAATATGGCTGAAGATTCTCATTAAACTGTTTTCCCCAAAATTAATAAACTTTTTTCTTAAATTTATCATCCAATTGATATTCATCTGTGACATTTTATAATTAGTCAGTTATCTGGCAGCTTTTTTATGGTAACCTTAAACATGAAAATATTCACTCCTTACTGCTGACTGAAAGATTCAGTCTGAAAATGTACACAAGATGGAGTGTGTGACCTTGAGATCATATCTCTTCATCTTTCCTTTCAGATCACAGAATGATCATAAGGTCTATATATTCATAGCCCGTGATATCATTCATTAGTTTAATGAAATGCTTACTAGTACAGTATATAAAAGTGTTTCAGGCACTGCCACCAGAGACAAACCAGGTGTACTGGGAGGTAATCACCTGGAGTTTTCTTTTTTTAATGTACTTTCAGGTAGGAAATAGAATGTAAGTGATGCTCAAACAAACAGAATATTATTTGCAAATTAATTTACAGTATATCAAGTGTTCTGAACTGTTTGAACTGCTCAAAGTGCCTGATAGGGGTCTGCTTGGAAGCCTTGGTTCCTAATGGTGACTGTGTTAAGGCCAGTTCATGCCACACTTTTCTAAAACAAAATTGCTCCAAGTGGCACACAATCTGCCAGGTGGGTGACATTATAAAAACAACAGGAAGAAAAACTGATACTGTTTTCTAAAAGAAGATGAAGAAGCAGTTGCATTCAAAGTTAGTAAGCTAAAAGGTCCTAAGCAGATGGCAGAATGCAGACTGACAGGTGGCCCGGTGTATTCTCCATTGACTCATGAAGCGAAATATGTCAAAGTGTAGAAGGGATCCTTTTCAAACTAGGCAGTACTTCTACAGAAGAATGACTGAAGGAGGCTATTCCTCAGAATAGGTACCGTCTAGTTTGGAAATAATCCTCTCCACACACCCTGACATAGTCACTTTATGAGCTGATGGAGAATACACAGCAAAAACATGAGAGGTGCGGGATCAAGTGGAAAAAACCACCAGCACAACTCAAACCAGATACTATAGTATTAAATTACATGAAGTAGCATAGAATGGAGCCACGAGGAAAAGAGAAAACCACACCATTCCTGTAATGTTAGAATTGAGCCTTAATGAAGATAAATGACTTTGCTCAGGCATAAATCTAAATTGCTGAAGGAATGAGCCTGGGGGAGTCTTGAACTTGCTCCCCCCCCCACTCCCAGTCTGCCGCTGCCACAGGCGTGAAGAGTAGACTGGATATTTTTCGCTTCCTTTTTCAGCTAACTGTGGTGACTTGTTTTGTCTGAACTGAAAACTCTGGTTAGTGTCAGTGGCGTAGCGTGGGGGGTGCAGGGGGGGCCGGCCGCACCGGGCGCAACATCTGGGGGGGGTGCGCTCGCACTCGCAGCTCTCTGCCCCTAGGGCAGAGGGGGCGCAAATTACTTGCCTTGCCCCGGGTGCTGACAACCCACGCTACACCACTGGTTAGTGTTTCTATTTCACAACCTGAAGTTGGCTCATTTCCTGAAACCAGGGATGGGGAGCCAAATGTGGCCCTCCAACCCTGAGAATTCTCCCTACGCCACACACTTCCCTGGCCCTGCTCCATGTTCTTGCAGGGCCTGGGTGTACCCTCCAAGTGTGATAAGGCCTCTGGATTGACTATGTGGAGGAGAGACAGATGTGGGTGTAGAAAAGTCTGACTTTTACGCAGCTGGAATGTAGCCTCTCTCTGATTGGCTACCTAGACAGACAGGGGTGGGCGGAGCCAGCACTTTGGGAAGGAGAATAAAAGGAGCTGTTTCAGAGAGAGGATTCTGATGGGGAGATGGTTTAAGAGAGAGCAGGAGGGAGAGAAAGAGAGTCGGTCCTGGTCTGTGTGTGTAACATCCACCCAGGGAAAAATATCTACAGCTAGAGAAAGGAGTCTCTGAGCTTACATAGGAAGACAGTGTTGAGTGTCTTGGGAGAGCATTCAGACAGGAGTTAACCGGAGGGCTGAGATGGAGCCAGGAGAAGGAGAAGCTGTGAGGAGACGGTCTCCTTGGGTCTCCTTCCAGTCAGGAGGGGAGAGATCTTCCCAGTGGCGTAGCGTGGGGGGTGCAGGGGGGGCCGGGCGCAACATCTGGGGGTTAGGGTTAGGGGGCGCAAATCCATGGGTTAGGGGGCGCAAATTACTTGCCTTGCCCCGGGTGCTGACAACCCATGCTACGCCACTGGATCTTCCAGAAAGAGAAGACTCCCAAACCAGGAAAAAAGGGGTGCGTGGGGATTCCCTGGGTCTGTTAGACTGCCAGAGGTATCTCAGGAGTATGGGAAAGGAGTTTGCGTGTCGAGGTCCCCAGGGCCACCCCAATAACTCACACATCACACAGAATTTTTTGTTTAAGATTTTTGGCATAATTTTGGCCACAACTTTATTGAAATACAAATTTGTGAGTGGTTGCTTAGGCATTGGTTGCGACTATCTGCCCCCACCATGGGGGACAGACTGACATTCCGCACGATGCGAAAGTCAGAATAGGGAATACACTTGGGGTTACGCGGAGCAGGAACCTGCCCTCACCCCAAATGCAACCAGGAGCTCATTGCTATGGTCCGAGCCCCCTTGACAGAGTGGACAAGCAATAGTTAGCCCCCATTCCTTTAACGGAATCCCTTGCAGCAGCAGCATTAGAGGGGCAGGCACTCAACCTACCAAGGGCAGGCACTCAACCACTTCCCCTCAACCAACCAAACCATAAACCAATGCCTAACCGCAACCTTACAAGTTGTGACGATTTGCTACGCAGTAGGCAAAAACCAAATGGCCCCAGCCAATCAGCCAGATGGACAAAATTCCTACCAGGCCCCTGCCCCAAGAGCAGACGACCCCATGACAGGCATAGCAAGGTCAAAGCGAACAACCCTAATTCTAGGGAGGGGGGCGGGCAATCCGATGCACTGTCGAAAAGAGGAAGCCCTAGCCTCGTGCAAGGAGTTTTAGCATTTCTGGCTGTCAATCAACAAATGGCAACATTAACTTCTTCCCAACAACAAGGGAAGCCCCAATCGCATCAGTGGCCAAGGAACAATTAGCCCGCCCCCAACTTTGGAGTGTCCTGGCGGCCCCCACCGCAACACGTGCTCTCCATGAAGGAGAACACGCTCTCTCAAAGGCTGGGAAACGGACAGAAAGAACCAAAGTATTAAGCTGTAACACCTACACAACAACTAAGTTAAGGAACTGAAGTGAAAGAAGTGGAAATAAACTGAGCATTTACCATCTAGTCTAGAAACCTGTAACATCTAACTGAGGAGTAATAACTGAATTAAGCAGCTGACAATTAAAAGAAGCTGTGCATTTATTACCTTGTTTAAAAGCCAGTATCATCCACAAGATTAAGTATAATTATTAATAAGTTAACAGTTTCCTGAAAGAACATTATCTCCTGACACTTCATTCTGTAAAATAAAACTTTCTTTATTGGTTCAACTCCTGCCTGAGTCTTCAAGGATATAAGTTTACCCTCACACATGGTGGCTATATTTAGGGCATACGTAGGTGGGATCTGCCACAATTGGTAGCCAGAGCAGTGGGATCTGCTACACATGCCAATAAAATCCACTTTGGAGAATATTACAGCTCATCCAGTCAATAGACAATAAGACATACATGAACAACAACCTTGGCTGTTAATCAAGTATGAGTTATGTTCATCACGACATAGCTTGAATTGAAATGTTTCATCTATGAAAACAGACACAGCTGTATTCTCTGCCACATTTGCCAGATCATTTGCAGCTGAGTTTGTTATAGCCCTCGGCCTTTTCTTATGTCATTGTTTTTCAATACTGTCACCACTGGATTAGAATTAATGGCATGATATTAATACTGGCCCATGTAAACAGATCACAGCAGTAGTGAAACAGGCATGTGGCCACAGTACCAGGAGCAATGCAAGGCATCTGTCCATTCCCAATACAGTGGTACCTCAGGTTACAGACTCCGCTAACCCAGACATAGTACCTCGGGTTAAGAACTTTACCTCAGGATGAGAACAGAAATCGTGCTCCGGCGGTGCGGCAGCAGCAGGAGGCCCCTTTAGCTGAAGTGGTACCTCAGGTTAAGAACAGTTTCAGGTTAAGAACAGACCTCCGGAACGAATTAAGTTAGTAACCAGAGGTACCACTGTTTTGTGGGGTCCTGCCACAGCTCACATTATATACAAGGCTGTGTTTAAATATTAACTCCCAAATTTGGTATCCCCTCCAAACCGATGTCAAAGTTTTGTGCTAGGTAATACATTAAAATCACCAGAGGTCTCACATATCTTAATGATTATAGAAATGAATATTATTAAATAGCAAAATTATAAAATGCTTCTAGAAAAGGATAACTACATCTAGAAAACTGTGCATGGCTTACATCTAGGCATTAACATGAAATGCGTTGGAAAGCCAAACTGTCACCCAAGCCATCCAAGGTCCAAGGTCCCAGCTTGGATTCAGATGAAGTGGTTGGACCAAGTTAGCAAAAATCTAGCATACTCGTAAGGTCAAATTTCAAGGTGCTATCTTGCCTCCCCAAATCCCTCCACTGCTCCCCTGAACCACCAATCTCTGCCCCTCCCCACCCAGTTTCAGCACTTAGCTTTAGATTATGAATATTTGAGAACCCCAAGCTGCCTTCTCCCCAAATGGCACTGCTCACCTTCCAAATATCTTACATGTAGGGAGAGTTCTGCTCTCCAATATCACCAGAGAGCTAGAGGGCGTTTCCAACCCTTTCCAGGAAAAAGCTGGCAAACTGTGCACTCCATTCTAATGCAACCCACTTTGCTCCATATTCCTAAAGACTCCTCAAAATGGAAAAGGAACAGTCTTTGCTGCTGCAAGAAGTAGCAGCTACTACTGGTGAATCAGCCCTGCCTAAGGGTTTGCTGTTCCTAGCCTTCAAGATGGTTCAAGAATCCATGCAGGCCAAGGAGCACTCCAGTTGGACACCCCAACCGGCCAGATAACCTCCTTGCTAGGCTTTGTGTGTGGCAACCCTGACTTACATGCATAGCAGGCAAAGTTTTGACTTCAATTAATAAGCTCCTAGCTTGACTTCAATTTCCCACCTCCAATTCCAGAACAAAAAACTAATTACTGCATGCCACCAGGGGAGCAGACACTACGAATTAAAACCTGCATCCTTTTGTCAAGCAAGACAAGGCAGAAGTTCCACGTAATGACAGATTAGAACTTTCCAACAGAACCTAAAACTATACAAAGGGGAAAGTTGGTGAGGAGGACGGGCTCTCTCAAAGTTGACAGGCAAAAGGGGGAAATGCAGGGAGGGAATAAAGAGAACGCTGGTGACAGAAGGTTGAATGAGCTTGTACAACCCCCTCACATTTTTTGGACTTTAGACTCTTTTGCCTGCCCAAGCAGCAATGTTACCCAGTTCCTGTCCAGTTCCCAATGAATTATTAATTCACTGGAATTAAATCATAATTCAATGAATGAATTATGTCACTAATAATGAAGTGTTTATAAACAGTTTGGGTCAAACATATCATCCTGCCTGCACCTTAAGATGTGCTCCACAGGTTCTTCTGATGCGCCCACCCTCTTGGTCAGTTAAGGTGGGTAGTCATGAGTGGGAAGACCCATGGCTATGGAACTCCCATGTTCTCTCTGGTTCTGGAAAAGAATTGGAACCTAGAATGGGAGGCTGGTAGAAGAAAGGAAAGCTCCCAGGTGAAAGCTGGAAGGCCTCACCACTTTCTGTGTGGGACAAGGGTTGAGAACTACCCTTTGAGAGAGACTGTGTTCTCTTTTCCCTTTCCCTTTCCCTTTCTCTCTCTGTTTTGGTTTTTATTCAGATTAGTCTCTTTTATCTTATTGTATTATGAAAAAGCTTTAACAAAATCATATTTTAAAAAAGAGAAAAAATGTAATGTTAAGTTTTTATAACGTTTTAAATTTTGTGCTATTTTGTCTTCTGTTTTGAATAGAAGCCATTTTGGATGGAGGAGCCAAAATATTTTAAATAAAATAAATGCAAATAAATAAAGATGAGTCTCACTTGAACAAGGTGTATCAGCTTGAAAGAGGAAAAACAACAGGATTTGGAATGGTTTTTGTAAACTACTAAAGCTCTGACTTTGAAGGAAAATAAATTGACAGAGCTATCATAAGTTAGGAGAGATCTTCAGTTATGAGTGAGGTCCAGCTCCAAGACTCCCAGGATAGCCACAAAGAAGCTGTTATCTGCTAACGGTTTTTATATTACTATTGCTGTTGCCTTTATGAAAAGTGGCAGAATGTCTGCATCAACTTCTCTGTCTTAAAACCTTATTACAAGGGACCACTTCAAATGAAAACTCTTATGAACTGTGCTCCGACAAAGACATAAGTTCTGAATGACTTTTGGAGAGCTAATAAACTCCTTTACAAGGAAGTCAAGAAGTAATCCAAACTGGAACATCTGCAATTTTCTTTTTCCCCCTTGCCACATCCTCTTGACAATTATAGAACACAACAATTCTTGCTCCCCAAAGAACAAAACAGCTGAGAACATACAGGCAAGAACTACTGATGCACGAAAAAGATTTCCCTTACTGGATATTTGCTGCTCACTGCATGAATGGAACAGGGTCATTCAGAAATCCAGGCAGTGCTCATTGCTCATGAAAACAGCCAGAGCCTCTAGCTCAAGCAGACTGGCTAAGCTCTGAATATGTATTCATCTGTGAATTAGCCAACATGGGATATTATTATTCCTAAAAATAGTCAATATCAACGTGGAAACTCAAGTGACAAGAAGGTCATGCCAACCAATATGTGAAACATAATTTTAACCTTCCTTTCTTCTTGACTGCCAAATTATGTAGTTTCTAAAATTCAGGGTATATGGCTGAAAGTCAGTGAATATTTCTAATGCAAGGTGATCAAGACAGTGCCTGTAGCAAAGCACATTTATGGAACTACCAACACCATAGGATATTCAGGAGAAAGTGTAACATTTTTAATGTTTTAATAGTATGTTATATCTTGCCAATTTTATGCATTGCACTTATAGCCAGATCATTATAGCAGCTTACATGCAGCTCTCAAGCTATCGCCCACCTGGGCCTTGACCTGCTCAGCTTTAAAAGTCATGAACTCTTGAACCATTCTCTAAGACAAGTTTCTTACTACAGGGCAGAACTTTCCAAGCTTTCCATGTTGGTGACACATTTGTAGACATTCACCATTGAGCCCATTTCCCAACTACATTTGCTGAATTATGCAGAACAGGATGTTTTCTCTTAATATTTCAATACTAAATGAACATCAAGAAGAACTTGCAACCCCCGGCCACTTTCCCCAACAGCCAGTTATACAAGCAAGGTATTCAGAAGGGTCTGCCAAAAGCACTGTTTGGAAGCAAAAAAAGATACAGCCCTGGTTAGTTCCTGCCTGGAAGCTAGAGCTGTCAGTCACAAGACAACCTCCATAGTCTTCCTTTTCCACTGTTGTTGTTTTTTAATGAAGAGCTTGGAGGTGAAATGTTAACTATTTCTAAACAGACAGACTGAAACCAGCTCTCTGAATGTTCTAAGTCTTCTGAAGAGCAGAAACTTTTGGAGCAGCCTGGTTTCAGGGAAGCCCTGCTTTGCATTGGACAGACTCCAAATCATTCTGAAGCAGCCCACCTAGATTCTGGATTCGGGCATTGTCTGAAGTGGAGACACATGCCTATTGGGCCATTTGAATTAAACATTTTGCTCCCAACATGAAATTAAGTTTCTCATCAGGTACAGAATGTGCAAAATTAAGGGGAATGTATTTCTTGGTACTGCATAGCTTACATTTTGATACTGTTACAGCCAGCAGCATTACATATAGTGGTGCTTCTGAACAAAAACCCTACATATACCGTAATCTGTGATGTGAATTTACCATGCTGCTCTTCAATATCAAACACAATATTGGCTTTCTCTCTTTCATAAACCACACCACAATATAAACATACTGCAAAGCCATCGCAAAAATGTCAGCACACATGTGAAAAGCGCAATAAATTCTAACCTCTAGAGAATGACTTTCTTTACAAAAGAGAATAAGAGAGTTAATGAAAACTTGGGTTGGTGTTTTTTTAAAACACACACACACACGTAGCTCAGCAGCACTACGACAAGAAATGTGCCAAGCACAAGACTGCTGATTTGGCGGTCTAAAAGGAGGGACAAGCAAATCCTGGTGCCTCTGCTTTGGGAATATTCTGAAAAGTGGATCAATATGCTAGATGTCTGAAAATGTAATTCGGACTCAGTCTCAACTGGGCTCCTATGAATCAGCATATGCTTACTACTTTTAGTGTTTGATGTTTCACTGTGTTTTTTATATTCTGTTGGGAGCCACCCAGAGTGGCTGGGGAAACCCAGTCAGATGGGTGGGTTATAAGTAATAAATTGGTGTTGTGGTGGTGAGGGAAATTCCTGCCTCAGGGAACAAAAGGGTGGAACTTCCAGGGAACTCCTGAAGAGCTGAGAGTGTCTACTAGCAGTTCCTAATACAGTGGTACCTTGGGTTAAGAACTTAATTTGTTCTGGAGGTCCGTTCTTAACCTGAAACTGTTCTTAACCTGAGGTACCACTTTAGCTAATGGGGCCTCCCGCTGCCGCTGCACCACTGGCACATGATTTCTATTCTCATCCTGAAGCAAAGTTCTTAACCTGAGGTATTATTTCTGGGTTAGCGGAGTCTGTAACCTGAAGCGACTGTAACCTGAAGCATCTGTAACCCGAGGTACCACTCTAAGATTAATTGCTATGCTAGATTGCAAAATCTCAGTCTAGGACACCAAATTGTTTGGTTAACACCACATGGTAGCAGCACAACCTGACTTTAAAAAGGGAGGTGGGGAGCAAGAGATACTACATTCCACCAAGAGCAGCAAAGGAACACAGTGCAAGAGTGTTAGAAGGCAACAATTAGATCTCTACAGCAGCAGCTCTCATTTCAATTTCTTAGACTCAGTGCACACACAAAGTGGCACAAGACCCTGCAATTGCATTCAGACCATGAATGGAAGCCTTCCTGGTTATGGTCACCACCAAGTAATCATGTAAATATTCCTAAAAATGTTCACCCAGCTATTCAACACGGAGGAAAAGTTATTCCCCACCCTCTTAAAGGTTAGCGCTACAGTGGAGACTGGCTTCAACATCAAAAGCCTGGGTAAATAAAAATGGCTCACCTGGCACCTAAAACCTGACAATGGTGGCACAAGGCGTGTTTCACAGACAGGGAGCTACCACTGAAAAGCTCATTCTTATGCAGCCAACCTCCCCCACTCCCCTGGCACACAGAGAAGGTCCTTCGATGAAGACAGCAGGGTCAGGGCTGGTTCATGTCAGAAGTGGTGGTCCTTCAGGTACTGAGATCCTGAGTCACATGTATTATTATTTTTATATAATAAAATATACGTTGAGCCTTGATGAGGTTGTTATACTGCAGGTCCTTGATACACAAGATCCTGCTGTGCTACTTAGACTGCAAACAGCCTTAACACAGTTATCATATTTCTATACTACATTAGAGTCAGCATCAAATACTCCTCATTTACACACATGTGACATAACTGTAGCCCATTTGGCCTTAATATTAGATTAATCAAGTGATTTTTATAATTGTAGGAAGGTTAAATATTGTGGCAAACCACAAAAGAGGGGGGAATCTCATTATTATTTATTAATCATTAAATTTGCATACCACCCTTGATCAGAAGTTCTCATGGTGGTTTGTAGCATAAATAACATCAATTGATTGAAACGCAGAGGTAGAAAGTTAACAAGAAAAGGAACAGAAACAGCCAAGCTGCTGATTAATATGTTTCAGCCATGAAAAGGGAACAAATAATGAAATCAAGTGCAATAAAAGCCTTAATGCAAAACACACACATAGAGGCTTAATTCAAGCTGAATGACTGCATTAGTATAAAGAAAGATTATTTTTCAAATTTAGGCTGCAGGAGAAGGGTTGCAGCTGATTACCTTCAGTCATTCTTCAGCGCTCTTGCATTAGTAATGACATGTAAGACAGACTGAAAGAAAGTCATCATTTCTCAGATGACCAGAAGTTTGTTGCAAGAACAGAAATGATACCATAATACATATACCCTTCCTTATATACTGGGTCAGAGCATAGAAAGAACCAAGCAGTTTAGACCTATTTCAACTTGTTTTGTGCATTGGCCTTTCCTTGCTCTGATACATAACAGCACAAAGGATCAACGTGGGGTTCTTTCAAAGGTGGTCTCATACCAGTCTTGGTATTGCTCTCCCTCCCTCCTTCTCAAATTCACAGATAACTAGCAGTAGTCCACTCAATAAACTCCCCGGGCAAACCTTCATCAGTCATGATAAATAACGATTGGGCAGATTGAGGATGAACAATCCCAAGCACATTTGTCTGCCTCGTCTAGTGTCAATAGCTGAAGTTCATCGGATGTAGCAAGATTAAGAGGGTCTGGACCACTGAGGATTTGGTATCCCAATTTAGCACCCCAAATCAGTACGGTTGTAAGGAATTTTACCTACAAAGCACTTCCTAAAATGGCCACAGTATGTTTCCAATTTGGGGGCAGGGGAGTCAAAAACCCAAAACTATGAGGATAAGGCTAAAGCAGTTATTTCACCACTCAGAGAGCTCTGCTGAAGGAAAAGCCTGCATGGCCAAGATGATGATGCAGGGGAATAATCTCTGCCACCACTGACATAGGCCTTCAATCACACTCTGTGTCATGTTTGGTCAAACTCATTATAGGGCTTCTTCCACTTGCCCTCTGGCCCTCGTTCCCAGACCTGCCTTACCAGTCAAGCCTAACATACCGAGAAGGAATTTTCACTCAGCCGCAAAAGGGAGGAGCTTCTGTGTCTACACCCAAATTGTCTTCTGTAGAGACTCAGCCCACTAATCACCCCCAAATGAATATAGCAGACCCACTGCATGGTATGCCAATAAAATGAATTTCTACAATTTACCCCAAGCTATCTTGCGGGGGTCTTGTGTGAGGGAAACTTCAATTCAGGGGTGTCAGGCAGGAGTTGAACAAACAAGAAAACTTTTATTTACAAAAAGAGGTTGGTGAAACAAAGTTGGGTCAGGAGATGCATTCTTTCAGTAGAAGTTAACTTATTACTTAAACTAAATATAAAGATGTCAAAGCTTTTTTTAAACTTCACTTGCTAAAAATCAGCCAGTATGCTTCAGGTAGATGTCCAGGTTTCTAGAATAGGTGGTAAAATGCTTAACTTGGTTTCTGTTACTTCACTCTCATTCCTTTACTTAGTTGTGTCAGGTGTGACAGTTAAATATTTTAGACACAGCACAGCTTCCTTCACAGCTTAATACTTTGGTTCATGAGTGAGGGGCACTTTCCATCAGTTACCCACTCTCTTAACAATCCCACTCCTGAGGTATTCAAATCAGTATAACGGACCCAGGGAGTCTGTCTTCCCACAGGTTCTCCCTCTCCTGGCTCAGACTCAGCCCTCCAGGTAACTCTGGTCTGTCCACCTTCCCTAGACACTCAGCCTGGTCTTCCTATCTAAGCTGCAAGGCTTTTTCCTCTTTCTATAGTCTCCTCAGAGCAGATGTTCAATTCAAATCAGAACCAATTCTCCCTCAGACAAACCCTATCCTAATCCCTATCTCTCATCTCAAATCAAGCCCTATCTCCCCAACTAAACCCTATCCTAATCCCTATCTAAAAACTGCCTCAGAAACTGCTACTTTTATTCCACCTCCCAAAACTCCCCCCCCAAACAATCCTCTAAGGCCCAGCATGTAGATCAATCAACCTGCAGAGGTAATCCATCCTAATACATCCACTACCCTTGTGGAAATGAGGAGAAACATTTTTTTTAAAAAAAGATCTCTTGCACCAAAAGCATTCCAGGTGTTCATCAAAAGATTTCAGGGTGGTGTACAAAACAAACTAATCCGCTTAACATATAAATTGAACTTAAAACCAACCAACAAACACACAAGATACAAATAAAAAGCCCCAAACTGCAGGGGGTGGGGGGACAGAATAGGCATGGCTTCTCACAAAGCTTTTAGAGTTATTTGACAACAAGCATATAGACAGACAACATGAACTTCCAACTTCCAAAAAACTTTTGATAAAATAACTCTGTATTTTAAAAAATCTTAAACTTAGTAGTCATGGGATAAGACAAGATGTTAAACTATGAAATTTACTCTTACAGGAAGCATTGATGGGCACCAATTTGGATGGCTTTAGAAGAGGTTTAGGCACATTCATGTTGGCTAATAATGATGATGATGATGATATGATGATGATGATGATGATGATGATAATAATAATCATCATCATCATAATGCTGTCAATGGCTGCTAGCCACAAGGACTATGTTCCACCTGCAGAGTGAGAGGCAGTTTGCCTTAGAATACCATTTGCTGGGAATTAGAAGTGTAAGAGTGCTGCTATACTCAGGTAGGCATCTGGCTGAGCACTGTGAAAGCAGGATACTGGACTACCTGCGTCTTTGGTCTGATGCGGCAGGACAAAGTTTCAAAAAGCAGCTAAAATCCAAAATGCCTTGGTCAATTCCAGACTTGCCTCCATGGAGGAGCAAGTTTCAAAAGGTCAGGGCAGCAACACAGAAAAGGCCTGCTATTAAGAGGGTGCTTGGAGCAGGGCTTCTGCAGAAGCTTGTAAGACACAAGACAGGCTGGTATGAGAAGACACACTTCCCTCGGGTATTTGGGCCCCAAGCCATCTAGAGCTTTAATTGTCAAGCACCGGCACCGAAAGCTGTGCTCAGAATCAAACAGGCAAACAAAACAGATCTTTCAAAAGAGGTATAATATCAAGTCAAGCTATATCCATCAAAATTATAGCAGCTGAACTTTCCACCCACTGGAGCAGCCCCACAAAAAACACATTACAGTAATCCAACTGAGAGAGGTTAACCAGAGCATGCATCAATGTCGGAACAGTCACACCTGGCTAAAGGCACTCCAGGCCACTAAGACTATTTGGGTCTCAAATGACATTGCTGGATCAAGGAATTGTTCTGTCCTAGGCAGAATGCAAGGGCTGGGTTCTAACCAAAATGGCAACATGTGCCAACCACAGAATCCAGAAAGGGTCACAAACCACTAATCCTGCTTCAGTATCTTGTAGCAAAGTCAATCAAGCTGAGATCAGGTTTCAGCAGAGTAAGGTCAAACAAGCCAAGGCTGGACTTCAGTGAGTATGGTCAGACAAAGCCAAGATGGTTTGGTTTGACCAACCAAAATGGTCAAAGGCCTGGAAACGATGCCTTATGAGGAACGGCTAAGGGAGCTGGGCATGTTTAGCCTGGAGAAGAGGAGGTTAAGGGGTGATATGATAGCCATGTTCAAATATATCAAAGGATGTCACATAGAGGAGGGAGAAAGGTTGTTTTCTGCTGCTCCAGAGAAGCGGACACGGAGCAATGGATCCAAACTACAAGAAAGAAGATTCCACCTAAACATTAGGAAGAACTTCCTGACAGTAAGAGCTGTTTGACAGTGGAATCTGCTGCCAAGGAGTGTGGTGGAGTCTCCTTCTTTGGAGGTCTTTAAGCAGAGGCTTGACAACCATATGTCAGGAGTGCTCTGATGATGTTTCCTGCTTGGCACGGGGTTGGACTCGATGGCCCTTGTGGTCTCTTCCAACTCTATGATTCTATGATTCTATGAAGATCAGATCCTACTGAGGTCAACCAAGCCAACCAAAGGTCAAAAGACCCAAACAAGCAGAGTTGGGCAAAACAGTGCCCTGGATAGCTCCAAGTGACCTGCCAGTCGGAGAAGCCAGAAGAATATTACCCACAAGCACTGAGCTGCATGTAGACCTCCAGGTGCGATTTCTCTGAGCCACTAGCCCCATCCCTAACAAGTGGAACCTCTACCCTGAAAGAGACCCAGCCTGTTTTAGGTGCAGCTGACTTTGGCCATGTGGGAGAGACCAGCGTTTAGCTGTGAATTCTGAGAGGGAGTCTGAGAAAGCCAACGTGAACTCTTCAGGCTGGAGAAGCACGGGCATCTATTGCTGGAACTCCAAAGAAGGCAGGGACATCAGAGACAAATCTGCTTTCTGACCAAAGTTATCCTCTCCATGGTCTTTTCCCACATTAATGGAGAGTTGGAAACTGTGTTATGATAGGAGTACCCTGAAAATGTATAGCTGCTCTTTTGGAAGAACAGAGTAGGAGGAACTTCAATTTCATAGACCCAGAAACCGACTACTTCCACCTTCAAGTATTCAGCTTCAGTTAATAAGCTCTTAGGCAGTCCATTGTTGACTGTAGGCAGTCCATCAGTGAGTCTAGACACTGATTTCAGCATCAGTGGAGTCTCATCTGGCTTAGATGATAGCAAAAAATAGAGTTGAGTGTCATCAGCGTATTTGGTAACACCTTACTCCAGATTCTTGAATGCAGTAGAGTTGTTTGCAGTTTGAGCAGAAGCCCCCACCCCTACAAAAAAGACTCACTGCTGGCTTCATAGGAAAGGTTCAGCAGGTTTTTGTTCAGTACAAAAACCACCTATCCAGTGGCACCTTTGTTGAACTAGACATGCATTCATATGACTGGCAGCAAAATGAGCCAAAAAGCACTGAGGGTGATGATCCAGCTCAGATAACAACCATACAGAGCACCTGCTTGCACACCCAATGCCTGATTGAGGTATGGAGAGGGATACAGAATTCTGCTTTTACACAGGTATGGCCTTAGCTGGACTGGACTGGATAGCCTAATACGGGGGGTGGGGGTGGGGGTGGGGAGGGGGGTGAGCATCTGTAGCTCCTTCCAACACAAATGCTGAACACACTGTGCGGAAGGGAGCAAGGGGCCACAGAATTCTGTGGCTGTATGGTGTCCCTGTTGTTGTTGCCAATAGCGATATCACATTTAGATTAAAAACATCAATAACATTTACACTGTAAAAAGGGATTATAGCAAATCAGATACAACAGATGGCTTTCTTGATTGCATTTGCTTTGTTTCTAATAACCAGGCAATTTAATTTAGGCAGCATCTAACCTGTCTCTGGCTTTCATACAGATTTAAAAACCAACACTGACTCAGTGTTTCCAACACAAGATAGAACTTGTTGGACAGAGTCACAGCAAGGCAATTTGGAAATACTTTCATCTTTAAAATTTAATCAGAAGTGTGTAATCTTCTACGTAAAGATCACAGAAAATTTGTTACACAACATTACAGAGTGAAGTGGTAGCCTCCCATAGCGGTTCTTTATTTTAATAAAAGTTTGTGGGAAATTACATGCAATTGCATGCAATTTGCAATTCAGCACTAGAATTTGTTCTTGATTTTGCCTAAGGCTTCAGCAAATTGCCAGAGGAATTTGAAAGACAAAAGGATGGGGTGGGGTTTTTTTTGTTTTTTAGAAGTGGAAGTTAGCAGAGAAAGATGAGAGGCAGTAGGAAATTCAGATTTAATACCTTCCTGAATATTTTTGGAAAGCACTGGAAATGAAGAGACTAATTGCTGAAAAATGACTAGAAAAACATTTCTACATTGCAGTAATGATGTTACATTTGCCTTAAAGAGCCATCTCACATGTTACACTGGAGTGCAGCCAGGGGACAGTTGCCAATCTAACTTCTAAACTATCCTTTCTCAACCTTGGGTCCCCTGATATTGTTGGCAGGGGCAACAAAGCAGCTGGCAATATTAGATGAGCCATTATTAAAAATTCAATGTCATAAACTCCCATCATCCCTAACTAGCAGGTCCAGTGGTCAGGGGTGATGAGAGTTGTAGTCCAACATCTGGAGACCCAAAATTGAGAAAGGCTGCAGTCTCAATAAAGTCACGTACATCATACACATTTACAAACAGGTGTTTGCACGCTTGCACATTTTAGGCATTTACAACGACATTTTAAGGAGCTAACTTATGAAGCAGCCCAAAGCGAATAAGCAAGTGACCTTGCCACACAGGCAAGCAAGGTTTGGACTAATAAAGAATTCTGTTCTCCTAGAACAAGCGGAGCTATTTATTTCTGCTCATCTTCCATCCCCTTTAGCAGCTAATTTTCTCTAGGGGCTGGTAGGGGGAGGAGTAGGGAAAATTAGGTGTTAAAGGAGAGGGAAGATAAGCGGGAATAAACAACTCTGACTGCCTCTGGAAAAGCTTTCAGAATTCTCAGTGGAGTCTGGCTTGCACACGGCTATTTTGGATGAGATGAGAGTAATGTGGAGCCAGACTCTGATACGTTCAGTCAAGACGACCCTATTTATCACTCATCAGAAAAGCAGAAAGACTAAATAATAGCAACTGCTCCATCTCGTAACAGGTTTGTACAATGATGGAGGTGTGCGCAAGAGAGAAAGAGATTTGGAGTTTTTATATTTTTTTATGAAAAGTCTGCAGATGGCAATTCAGCAGACTCCTATGCCTCTGTTTTAATGATATATAATAGTTTGGGGCATGACCTACACTCTTGCTGTGTTGATAAGAGCAATGCCATCTGAAAGAGCCCTGGGAGAACCTCAGCTATACCAGGAAACCCAACTCCTCCAGGGTCTGCTTATTCACTTCATTTATTGCATTGCTATAGGGACGCGGGTGGCGCTGTGGGTTAAACCACAGAGCCTAGGATTTGCCGATCAGAAGGTTGGCGGTTCGAATCCCCACGACGGGGTGAGCACCCGTTGCTCGGTTCCTGCTCCTGCCCACCTAGCAGTTTGAAAGCACGTCAAAGTGCAAGTAGATAAATAGGTACCGCTCCGACGGGAAGGTAAATGGCATTTCCGTGTGCTGCTCTGGTTCGCCAGAAGCTGCTTAGTCATGCTGGCCACATGACCCGGAAGCTGTACGCCGGCTCCCTCGGCCAATAAAGCGAGATGAGCGCCGCAACCCCAGAGTCGGTCACGACTGGACCTCATGGTCAGGGGTCTCTTTACCTATTGCATTGCTATCCCACCTTTTCTCCAAAGAGCTCAAGGTGGGGAACATGGCTCTCTTCCTCCCCATTTCATCCTCACAGCAACCCTGTGAGGTAGGCTAGGCTGCGAGACGGACGGGGCCCAAGGTCACTCAAGGACTTTCATAGCTCTCACGCTACATCAACCCAACCAGCCCCTGCGATCATCGTTTGATCTTCATGTGCCCCCTCCATGAGAGGTCTGGAGTGTGGCAGCATGAGAACGGGCCTTTTCTGTGCTGGCTCCCCACTTGTGGAAGGCTCCCCCCAGGGAGGCTCACTTGGCACCTTTTCTTCCTGGCCTTGGCTAATTAAACAATCTAGTTCTTAACCCGAGATACTACTTCCGGGTTAGCGGAGTCTGTAACCTGAAGCGTCTGTAACCTGAAGAGTCTGTAACCCGAGGTACCACTGTACTATGGTGTGTACCGTATTTTTCGCTCTATAAGACGCACCAGACCACAAGACGCACCTAGTTTTTGGAGGAGGAAAACAAGAAAAAATATATTCTGAATCTCAGAAGCCAGAACAGCAAGAGGGATCTCTGCGCAGCGAAAGCAGCAATCCCTCTTGCTGTTCTGGCTTCTGTGATAGCTGCGCAGCCTGCATTCGCTCCATAAGACGCACACACATTTCCCCTTACTTTTTAGGAGGGAAAAAGTGAGTCTTATAGAGCAAAAAATACGGTATTTTTCCTTTTCTATATTGCAAACTGTTTTGTGATTCTTGGATGAAGGGTGGTATAGAAATTTAATAAATAATATTTTTAAAAATTGCTGAGCAGCAATATGAGCATCCCAGTCTGAAACTCTAACCACACCCCACACTGGCACAGCTATGACACCCAGGAAGTGGCAGAACCAGAACTTCCAGCAGCATTGGCCATCTTGGCAGGCCAACTTGAGAGCCCTTTCCAGTGAATTCATTAGGAGAATTGTGAGTGTACGCTCTTATAAATAAACATATTTTGTTTACTCTTTGCACAGTTCTTTTATCAACCGTTAAATTGGAGAATGCTGATGAAAAAGAATTGTTTGAGTGGGCTTTGCTTGTGATAAGGCAGGGGATTTGATGAATAATCAGGATTTTCCCTCTCCCTTTTAAATTATGGTTTATTTCATGCACCCACCACCTTGATTGAAATGTATTGAACCTGTTTTAAATATTTTTTATATATATAAAAAAGCTTGGAAAGCATTGTTTATTTATATGCCACCCTTCAATAATCAAATATTTCTGAGTGCTTTACAAATAAATCAATAAATTATAGAATAAAATGCACAGCAAGCGTAACTATTTTTTAACATAAAGACACCTAACAGCTAAAAGCAATGTAACATAGCAGAGATAAAATTAAGAGTTAGAAGGCCTGAGAAAATGAGAGGCACAAATACAAGATGGGGGACACCTGGCTTGAGAGCAGTACATGTGAAAAGGATCTAGGAGTCTTGGTTGACCACAAACTTGACATGAGCCAACAGTGTGACGCGGCAGCTAAAAAGCCAATGCAATTCTGGGCTGCATCAATAGGAGTATAGCATCTAGATCAAGGGAAGTAATAGTGCCACTGTATTCTGCTCTGGTCAGACCTCACCTGGAGTACTGTGTCCAGTTCTGGGCACCACAGTTCAAGAAGGACACTGACAAACTGGAACGTGTCCAGAGGAGGGCAACCAAAATGGTCAAAGGCCTGGAAACGATGCCTTATGAGGAACGGCTAAGGGAGCTGGGCATGTTTAGCCTGGAGAAGAGGAGGTTAAGGGGTGATATGATAGCCATGTTCAAATATATAAAAGGATGTCACATAGAGGAGGGAGAAAGGTTGTTTTCTGCTGCTCCAGAGAAGCGGACACGGAGTAATGGATCCAAACTACAAGAAAGAAGATTCCACCTAAACATTAGGAAGAACTTCCTGACAGTAAGAGCTGTTTGACAGTGGAATTTGCTGCCAAGGAGTGTGGTGGAGTCTCCTTCTTTGGAGGTCTTTAAGCAGAGGCTTGACAACCATATGTCAGGAGTGCTCTGATGGTGTTTCCTGCTTGGCAGGGGGTTGGACTCGATGGCCCTTGTGGTCTCTTCCAACTCTATGATTCTATAGGTCTTCCTTCACATGGTGAGCCTTCCTGGAGTGCCTTCTGAAGAGACCTGGAGGAGGGTGTACAAGGATGATCTCTGTGAGCAGAAAAAGCTCACCAATCATCACTTGAACATTTGGCTTCCCCTCCCCTATTGCAATTTTTTTGGGGGGGGGGCATTTATTCTTCCTCCAAAAGGGGGTGGAAGGAAAGCAAATGCAGTAAGGCAGGGATACCCAATTGGATACCCTCCAGAGATTGTTGGGCTCCCCCTCTCAAGAGACCCAACCTTCATGCTAAAGGTCAGGGATCCGAGATAGCTGCTCTATACCGCGCCAAGCCATTCGTCCATCTAGCCCGGCACTGACTACATTAACTGGCAGCAGATCTCAAGTATTTCTGGCAAGCGTCCTACCAGCCCTATCTGGCGATGCCAGGGACTAAGCCTGGAACCTTCTGCTTAAGAAGCAGATGTTGTACCACTTGCATGTTTCTCCTCTTTCCTGGGCCAGAGAAGGCTGGAGGCAATCGTTTCAGATTTCAAACCAAATTCTGATCCTGTTGACTTCTGGCATTTTTAAACTACGGTTTGAGAACAAGCCAGGATCTGAAGCCACGGTTTGATACTGGATTGTTCTCACTAGCTTTGGTTGAAACAGGCGATAGGGCTCAGAGTTCAGATGTCATGGTGAACCATGGTGAGTTTTTTAAAGTGGAAGCTTTCAATCTCCTCCTTTGATGTGGGGAGAGTCAGAGTGTTTGAGCCTGAGGTTCATATATACGGAGGTAAGCCATAGTTTCCTGACTGAAATGGGCCAATGCAAGATGCTAGCAAAGATCAGCACTTTATTAGAAACTTGCATAATCCTGTACAGATTCATTGCATTTTGGATCTCATTTGAGAGGATGAATGAGCTTTGAGGGAAGATTACAGAATGCCCCCAAGGCATTTTTGAAGTAATACATTATGTTTGTGGTATTGACAGTTCTAGTTCAGTTGGACAAATGGGTCTTTCCTCTTGCAACACCAGCAAAAAAAGAAAGGAAAGGAAAAAGATTTAGTGGGGAGAGAAGGGGGAGGGGCGGGAACTACTCTGCTTCTCAAGAGTGTTGCAGGTGCCAGTGCCAAATACTTGCTGCACAGAGTATGGTCATTTCCCAAAGCTAGTTTATAACACAGGGTTTTTCAAAAAAGAATTACATCACACTGGAAACAGAAATATTTAGATATGCCATCTCCTGCTATAAATGAGAGGCTCACCGCAGATAATCTGAATGGAACACAGTTTGGAAAGTCTGCCTTAGAGACTGTGTTTGCATTGTGGCACCAATTTTACTGGCCCCTTCCTATTCCTTTGCATAAGACTTATACAAAACCAGCAAAAGCTCCTGATGTGACACATAATGAGAAAGGTAAAGGAACCCCTGACAGTTAAGTCCAGTCACAAACGACTCTGGGGTTGCGGTGCTCATCTCGCTTTACTGGCCAAGGGAGACGGCGTTTGTCTGCTCCACAGACAGTTTTTCCGGGTCATGTGGCCAGCAGGACTAAACTGCTTCTGGCGAAACCAGAGCAGCGCATGGAAACGCCGTTTACCTTCCCGCTGGAGAGGTACCTATTTATCTACTTGCACTTTGATGTGCTTTCGAACTGCTAGGTTGGCAGGAGCAAGGACTGAAAAACAGGAGCTCACCCCGTTGCGGGGATTCGAACTGCCGACCTTTTGATTGGCAAGCCGAAGGCTCGGTGGTTTAGACCACAGCGCCACCCGTGTCCCTATAATGGGAAACTATTCACCTAAAAATGTCTATATGCCAAGGTGCTATTAAGGAAATAATGAAAGAAGCAGCTTCTAAGCCAGGTGCACATGAAAAGTGTGTTTTATTTGGCCCAGCACCTTTTTAGGAAAGAATGGAGCACTATGAAAAATGAAATTCTATATATGCATCTGAATAATTTCAGTGAAAGAACTTTAAAAAACAACAACCTACACACCTCAAATCATTGTGATTCTAAACAGCAAGAAACCTATAGAATGGAACAAACTTCAAAGAAAAAAATAGTATTAACAAGAACATTCAAAACATTTACATCCACAATTTGGTCCTTCTATTTGCAGTAGTGTTTACGCCCCGGTAAATGTGCATACGATTGCAACCTAAGCTAGAATGTACAGGGCAATCCTAAACATGTCTACTCAGAAGGCAGAATTCAATGGCACTTACTCTTGCGTAAGTGGGGTTAGGATTGCAGCCTTTGCTCTGTGTTTGTGTCATTTGTAAACCATTTTTAGATTACATTTGTTACATAATATGGGTTTCTTTCATCCCTAAAATTATTCAAGTGGACATTTGTAAAAGAGTAGTGCTCCTGATGGAGAAGAGTCTTTGGGTCCTAATGAACTCCAGATTCCTAGAGTACTTTGGAGCACAAGACTTTTTGTCAGTTGTGTACATCGTGCCTTCTCTCTTGCAGGCTGCTGCGAAAACACAGAAAGAGCTAGAAAAAGAGATGCTATGCCTAAATTCCACATCAAATCTTTCCTTAATTAGCATACATTTTCCCAGGAAAAGCCAGCTGAGATGTTCACAGGCTCCGGGTGTTAATTTATTACCCATCCCTCTGGCCCCTGGCCATGCCCAGGGCTTCACTCACTACTTAATTAGCTAATGAAACTTTCCTGCCAGCTGACCAAAGCACACCTGGGGCTTAAGGTGGGGACATCACATAACAGAAAGGTGTGCAAATGAATAAGGTGGCATGGCCAACCAACAACCCCCTCCCCTGCTAAACAACCACAGACACACCACACTAGCAGGATTTTAAGCATTTTTCTTCCAGGCTTTGCAAGAAGGAAGATTTTTCTTTTGCTCCTACCTGAAAGCCAAATATCTTTTGTAATGTAAATTAACATTTTAATTGCTTTTATATCGGAATGCAATTATGTTCTGAAAAGTAATTCTGTGCAAACAACAAGCCTTTATGCTCACTTGTCTAATGATTTCATTAGCAAATTTTTTCCATTTAGAAATCCAAAAGATATATTTTCTTCAGTGCCATTACTTTAAGCTTCACTAAAGCCTGCAACTCTCAAGCCACTCAAGGACAATAAACTTAGACTGTTTTGGAGTGGAAAGAGGTTGACTGCCGGACAAACCACAAACATTTTATATTCATGCAAAGTGGTTGTCTAAGAGCATTTTCACAGATCACTTGCAAATGTATGAATGTTCTATGAACATGCATGACCAAAAGCAGAAGGGAGTACTTTTAAAAACCGATTTTAAATACAAGCCAAGGTAGAGTTTGCATGAGACTCACCTATGTCATGCCATAATCCCTTCCCGCAATAAGGCAATGAAACTTTCATAGTCCAGCTTCACACATGAAACTACAGAATGGCTACGATCAGAAAGACAACAACAAACCATGACTTATTTTTCCAAGAAAGATGCTGGGCCAGGTCTGCATATACTGCTAAATCATTTATGAATGAAGATTTTTTTAAATAAACGAAAGAAAACCATGGTATAATGTTACACCTGAATCAGGCCATTTACCAGAAGAGAAATGGGTGGGATTGGGGGGAGGGGTCTTCAGAGCCACAATACACCATCAACAACAAAGGTGTGTGGGCAGGCAAGCTATGAAATCTGTTCAGCAGCAAGGAACTTTTTTGAACTTAGATGGATGTTTAGTTTAACTTGCATCAGTCCTCCAATTATTGCAACTATAGTCACAGACTCAAGGGGTCCAAAAGAGATTTGCACGTGAAAGTGCTAGAAATGAGTTGTCAAGTACACCAATCTCAGTTCACTATGCATCCACTCAGTCCCATTCTGAACTCTCCACTGTGGTTTGGTAAGCCATGTTGCAGAAATTCAAGCCTCACAGTTCACCCCGGGAACTGACATATTGCCTTCACTGCATGTTTGCATGAACTTGAGTTTACTGGAAGAGTAATTTTCAAACCCAAGGCCTACTGCTCTCATTTATTAATAGGGATGAGGAAGGAATACCGTAACTTTAATGTAGACCCAACTGATCCTATCTGGGCAGATCATGACTAGGATCGGATAGGAGTTCTGAATCCACAGTCAAGTGGATTTCCTTATGATGGAGTATCAGGGCTGCACTTTTGTTTCTAAATTTCCTTTTTAAAACCTTCAGGGAAGTCTTCTAGCTACCCAGGTGGTTTCTTGAAGCCATGTGTTTTGAACAGAGCAGAGGAGCAAGTCACCCCAGAAGCAATGGGACTTGGCGATGTTCTGCAACTGTCAGAGGAAACTGTACAGCAAAAACACAGCTGCCTCCATGTAAACACTGGATCCACATGGAAATGGGATGGAGCAGACTTAGTCCCACCCCCTTGTAGAACCAGACTGGACATGAATGGTTTTTACACTTAAGTACATTGGGTTACTACATTTTCCTCCTCCTCCTCCTCCTCTGTGTTTAACATCAGTGTGATATCAAAATCAAATGTGTAAAGCTTTTCCTGGCAGAGAGATTTGTTGAGGAAACTTACACCCACAGAATGCATGTGCATCAAGCTTCTATGATAAAGCCACAGCAGCAACATCAGGAAAGGAAAAGGCAACCCTAATTTCTACCTCATTATACATTTAGCTGTCAGTGATACCCTAGGTGTTATACAGAACACGGAAGGCAGGATCACTGAAGATAAGCTGCCAGTCATGAAAACTAAACAGAACCCCACCCTGTTCATTTTAAGCCTAAAAGCCAACTGCAGGCAATGGCCATCCCTCTTCATGAGCTGCTGGTGGCCTTCCAGAGGCAGGTGGCTGACCTCTGCTGAAAAGATTAATCTTGGCTGATCCAGCAAGGCTATTCTTAAGCCAGTGTGGCGTAGTGGAAGGATGTCAGACGGACCTGGAAGACCATGGGACCTACTCAGCCACAAAGTTCAATGGGTAATCTTGGGTCAGTCGCCTTCTCTCAGCCTAACCTTCCTCACAGTCTTGGTGCGAGGGTGAAATGGGGAAGCAGGGTGGGAGAGAAACCATGTGAGCCACTTGGGCTGCTTTGGAGGAAAGGGAAATAGAAACAAAACAAATAAATAAGTTTTTCCGCTGAGAATCTAGAGCCTATTCTAACTAGGCCTTCCATGTCAGAATGGACACTGAGAGAAGATGCTTGTCTGAATCCCCACCAGGAATTGAGAGATACAAGCAAATGCGTTCTTTTCCTTGGCTGCAAATCCACCCTGTTCCACACATCCACTCTGTTGCTCAACTCACAAATTCACTCTGTCATTCAACTGCAAAATAAAAAAAATTCCTTCCAGTAGCACCTTAGAGACCAACTAAGTTTGTTATTGGTATGAGCTTTCGTGTGCATGCACAATTCTTCAGAAACACACTGCGAAGTCGGGCAAAAATCAAAGGTGTCCATTTAAGTGCTTTAATAGCATTCGGGTCTCCCCACGCCCAATTCAGTTAACCTGCATTGCCACCATCTATAAGTGATGTTTTGCCCAATTATCTGATGTCCTCCTCTCCTTTCTGCTAGTGCTGGAGAAGCCCCTTCCCCACCCTGCCTAGCCCAAATAGTGCCCCACAGTGCCTTCCAGGTAGACTCAGGTGCAAATTCATAGGTGTCCTAGTCCACCCCTTCACTTTCACCATCCCTACTCCAAGGTGCACACCAGAGCAAATGGCAAACAGACAAGAAGTTTTTCAATCTCTCTTCTCAACTTTGTGCAAGATCACTAAACAGCCAAACACATCTTCATTTCACCCACACAGATTGAAATGTATGCACAGTGCTGGCAAGCTCACCCTCACCTTTCTTCTCTACACAAGTGGAAGGAAAAAAAGATACACAGGAGGTGTGTCAGAGACAGGAAGGGACATTTGCTTTTAAGCAGGAAAATAATGGTCCCCCATTCTTCTGTGCAACTATGAATACTGAGCCTAGCCAGAATGATAACCAGAACAATCTTAGGGGTCACATCGTCATGGAAACAAGTTTCCACTAATGAGCTCTCCAAGAAACCAGTGATTAAAAACGGCAAACATTGACTCATAACACAAATGTACAAGGAGCAGTCAAAAAAAATGTTTTAAACATTGCAAACAAGCATGCTAACCTTTCCCCTAGAATAATAATAATAATAATAATAATAATACAGCGACATACCTGGCTCACTTCCTTCTTTTTTAGTTTCTTCAGCTGCATGCTCTCCCCACACCCAAGAATGAGGCAGGTAAGCTGACACCAGAAGTTTCCTAGGACAGCTGAAAAACCGATGTCCAGAAATACAGAACAAATCTTCTCTAGCGCCTTGTTTTCTAGTCAGTGGTTCTTTCTAACAGAAGAAGAGAAAAGAGACACTCCTTGTCTATTTCTGATTGTGGCAATGCTGCCAAAATCTGTTTTAGGACCAAAACAGGCAAAATGTGGCGAAATACATACTCTGTTCTCCTTGACATTTTCTTCCCTGTTTTAAACTTAGGCCACTTCCAGATTGTTGCCAGTTTGCAAGTGGGATGCAATCATATTGAGGTTGTGTAATTAAAGTAGATTTGTTCACTCTTGCACAACAAACCTACTTCTAGAAAGGGACAGGAATTTTTTGCAGTAAGGAAAGCAAAGGGAAATCTTCTGGAAAGTGTGGTATAGCAATTGTTTGCTACAACACCGTATAACCTTGCTGCAAACACATCAGAATAAACCCTCAATAGGCAGATCTGGAAGCAATGCCCTGGAGGAAGAAAACAGGTGGAGAAAAACTCTCTTTTATCAGATGTTCAATTCTTCTGCCACACTTTTCAATCATCCCACTGAAGTTACTATTAGCCTCACAGTAGAAAACACGCTGTTTTATGCAGCAGAGTTAACAGGAGCTTGAAGGTAGATTGCGGTCAAGGCATGGAAACAAGGGTTGAACTCTCCGTATCCCTACTCTAATCAAATAGTGTAGCCCTCACAACTCACAAACAAAAACCTCCACCAAATCTAATCAGAGGCAACAACAAAGACAGATCTGGTTCCATAAACACTGAAATCAAAAAATTTTCAAATCCAAGTCTTATTGAAACTGGCCATCAGGTGAAGCCACCAAGAAATTTTACCTCCAACAATGAGCCAGCAAATTTGCTGTCTCAGTTTTGAATGCACTGCAATCTGCAAGGTTAAGTGAGGTATATTCCACAGAGTCCTCCAGGAGGGAGAGAGAGACTGGTATCTGGTAGCAATATCCCAGTTAAGAAAGCTGGCTAGAGGACCACAGCATGGCAGCTATCAGGTAGAGAGAATCCTGGAATTGGAATCTTCAAAAACCCGCTGAGTCGGAAGCATGAACAGAAGAACAATCCTATGCACGTTTAATCTGACTCAAGTCTCACTATGCTCAATGTGGCTTACTTCATGATCATCGTATTTTGGAAGGCAGTCTGGGAAGCCATGATATTTCAGCCTAACCTTCTCCACTGAGAGTGAAGGTTACCCATCTTCCTGTTCTCATATATGACTCACCTCCCTATACAGCTGTGAATCCAATTAGAGGTGATGTGGCACCTTAGAAGAATCTTTTTCCTTGGATGGGGGGAGTCCTGTGAGGTCAGGACCATTTGTGTCAGAGGTGCAGTGCATAGGAAAGGGGTACACCCTCCCCTATACAACACTGCCCTGATCCAAGTCGCCCCCCCCATCCAAGTCCCCCCACAAAAAACCCTATTAGCCATGGAAGGGAATATTAAGGGATTTATGATGCCAGGGTGCTGAATCTGGATCTCTCCCATCTTGTCTACTTTTTGAACTCCTTTTCCCATCTCTTATATACTGTTCCTCTTCCACCTCTCCTCCACCACTTCCCCTGAAAGCCAGAGGTGCTCTCTTAGAGAAAACAAATACATGAAATGATTAAAATAAAATGTTCCAGGATCTTTCTACTCAACAAACCAGGGGAAATTGTTTGATTGGGATTAAACAAGAAACAAAACACCACAGCCATCTCTCTCAGAAGTGTTGTATTATTTTATAAACAGAGAGAAGCCAGTGCGTATATATAATGGAGAGTTATATTGATGTCAACTAGTGATCAGGAAAACCAAGAGATTCCAAAACATCACAGCACCACCTCACTGTAAAAACATCATTTCCTCCAGCCCTCACCAACCCTGGCATAATTTGGACTACAGCTTCTACCAGTCTCAGCTCCCACATTTGTGAGGTCCAAAACACCTGCAGGGTGCCAGGCTGGCAAAGCCCCATCTACCTGATATTACCCTGGCAGAAGGCCACAGTGCCCAAGCTCCCAGGATCCTTCCTAGCCTTTTTACTTCAAAGGAAAGGCAGGCAGGCAGGGTGTTATCCAACTGCCCAGCTAAGAGGTGAACCAATGAGCACAAAGGCACAAAGACAAACCTTACCATTTGCAGCCGTGACCCCCAAATCCTCCTCCCTTCCTCAGTTGCACTGGGAACATTTATTTCCAATCTTACTTTGAAGCGCATTCAAGATGCACAGATGTTTCGTACAATTCAAATAACTTCAACACCCAATGCTTTCCTCCCCCTGTGGCCCCAGCTGGCTGGGGCTGATGGGAGTTGTAGGGCAAGCCATCTGGGAGGCCACAGGGGGAGGATGACTGCTGCTTGTGTCTGGGTTCAGGCTGTTGTACCCTGCCCCACAAACCGCCTGCCCAAACAAAATTTCTGACTAAGGACAGGGTGTCCCAAGATATTTTGGTACCCGAGATGGAAACCAAATGGGCACCACCCTCCCTGCCAGGGAAGAAGGGGTGACTGAAGATCTACATCAGGAACAAGCATAAAATAAAGATCTACATGGTGATCCTCTGGCCCTGTGGATCCTGCCTCCTGAAGCAGTTGTTCCACCTTACCTAATGGGCAGGCAGGCCCTGCCTTGGGGCAGCCCAGTTTCCAAAGAAGCTGCCACCCTCGCAATCCCCTTTTCGCCCGCTAGTCCATCTGCGCGCCCTCTCCGTCCTCCGACTTCTGCCCCGCGCCCCGCCACGCAAAACCGAGTGGGCCGCCTTCTGGCCCGCGAAACTTCGCCCTCGCCTCGAACAGCATCGAAGCGAAGTCGCGCAAGCGCTAAGCTGCCCACGGAACCTCCTCGATCCTGGACGGGGGGACCGGAGCCGGCCTGGTCTCACGGGGGATCCCGCGCTCCTCTCGGGTACAACCTGCTTGGGGTGGAGCCTGGGGCGCTCGCTTCCCGCCTCGGAAACCCGAAGCCCCGTCTCCCCAGCAAGGGTTGGCGCACGCATAGGAACGCACGGGACCTGCGCAGAGGATCTCCCTGCGCCCGGGGCGCGCGCGCTTGGTGTGTTCTTGTTGTTTTAAAAAATAGACGCGCTAGCGATCCAGAACCGGAGGCCAGAAAGAGGCAAGCCTTCCTTGCGCGGAGTTAAGTTGGATTCAGTTGCTTCCGTTTGCCAACCAAAGCAGCAAACTCACCGGGAACCGGAGCGTGGTCAACGGACGTAGAGCCACGCAAAACGAGAACCGCGCCGTGGGCGCCCGTTTGGGGAACGTTTGCATTGGATTACCGCGCACCTGAACAGGTGACGCCTGGAAGACCCCCCCCCCCCCGCGCGCTGCTGGCGGTACAGGAATAACTGACTCGTTTCCAGCCTGATCCTTCCTTGGAAGCGAGTCCCATCGAGGTCAATCCTCGGAGGAGACGGCACCGCTCTGCGCGCTTGCCCCGGAGCCTGTCCATTCGGGTCTCAAGCCAGACTTTACATCCGAGTAAACCCGCCCAAGTGCGCCGAGAAGTAAAAGGTATGTCTACGATCGCTAGCTTCGGAGGAAGAGGGCTCCTGGGGAGAGCTGCGCTCTCGACGGGGCATCGGAGCCCCCGGCGCCCGGAGCAGCTCGGTTACCGCGCGGCTCCCTCTGCGCCCCCCGCCTCCGCGCAAGGGACCCGCGCCCGAGGGTGGGACGGCAGCGCCCGAAGTTGGCCGCGTGGCTGGGCAGCGCCGAGGCTCCGGAGAGCGGAGCCCCCTTTGGAGAAGCGTCTCGATCGGCTCCTTTTGCTCGGAAGCGAGCTCCGGAGAGCAGCTTCCCGGTGCCTCGGGGACGGGGAGGAAGAGAGGAGGGAGCCGGGGTCGCGAAGGGGCGCCTCACTCACCTGCCAGGCGAGCAGCTCCCCGCGGGGAAAGGGCTGGAGGCGAGAGCGCCATCGCCCGGGGCAGCGCCGGGCGCCCTCCTTGCTGGCTTGCCGCTTCCCGGGGCGCGGATCAGGGAGCGCCCCACATCCTGGCCGGGCGAAGGCTGCGCTTCTTGCCCGCTCCTCCGCCGGGCTGGGCTCCGGCTCCGGGGAGGGAGGGCGGGCGGGAGGAGGGCGGCGGCGGCGGCGGCGAAGAGCAGGCGGGCGGGCGGGCGGGCGGGCGGGCTCGCTGGCGCCTGCTCGCAGGTCGACCCCGCCGGCGCGCTTAAGAAGCGGCGGAGGGGGCGCAGCCGCGCCGCGCGCCCTGCGCAGGGCTGGCGAGGCACGAGCAGCTCCTCCCCGGCAGGGGTCGGCGGGGCGAGGTCGGAAGGAGCTGAACTCAACGGGGCGCCAAGCAGCGGGCGGCGTCACGGGGGGGGGAATCCTCCCGGCGGAACCCCGCGCGATCCGGGGTTGGATCGAGCTGCGCTCCCAGCCTGTTTACTCGCGAGCAAGCCCCACTGCCTTCGATGGGACGCGCCGTCTACTAGCAAGCATGGCTTCTTCTAGATAGTAAATCCCACCGAACTCATGTTGGGCTTTCCAGTAGCCTCTGGTTTTCTGGGCTATTGCAAAAGCCCTGCAGTCACACACTCATTGCCAAGCAGGTGTGCGTCGAAATTTGCTGTTTCATAGAATCCTCTCCTAGGCAAAAGAGCACTGAAGAGAAAGGCTACAGTCAAAGCACCAAGGGATTCAGTGGCGTAGCGTGGGCTACCTCTGCCCGGGGCGGCACAGAGGGATTCCATTGCATTGGCTGAAGTTCTGGGCATCTTCACTTGAAAATTTGAAAGCAATGGAGCCAGAGCAGATGGTTTGTGTTAAAGAACTTAGTAAAATTCTGAGGGAACCAGTGAATTCCAAAGGCCATTGGGTAGCATTTGCTTTCCTTGTGTCCCTTAGGCGACATCTGATTACTTTCTTGAAAACAGTTCTCATAAGACATGATGTCACACTTCAGATAGATGGATGGATGGATAGACAGACAGATATACATAAATTATATTGCCTGTTTTATGGCCTGGTTTGCAAAGTTAATTATAATTGTACTTGCCAAAGAAACAATATGGAGGCCAACTGAAACAGGAAGACAGGACGTGAGTTTCCATGTGGGTGTTGAAAAACGGATAAGCTCTTAGTTCACTTAATTACAACAACAATGGTTCCAGACACTTTACAGTGTCATAGCAAGCCTTGACATGGGGTGTCATTCTCTTCCCGCTCCCCCTAATATTACCCTGGTGTTTGTTTGTTTTTAAATGGCTAATGGTAAATATTTCAGATGAAGTCATTCCTTTTAAAAGAATGTTTTTAAAATTTTTACTAAATCACCAGGATAAATCCCATTTTAGAAGCCTTACATTTACAGCATAGAACTCTTGTTTTCAAGACTTGTTTCCCTTGCTGTATATCCCCCCCATTTCCTCCAAGGAGCTCAAGGCAGCATATATGGGGGGGGGGGGAGAACCTGTGACCCTCAAGATGGCTGAACTACAACTCTCTTCCTCTTCCTCTTTGTCCACTGGCCATGCTGGCTGGCGCTGATGGGAGTTGTAGTTCAGCAACACCTGGAGGGCCACCACTGGCATACTCCCATTATATTCTTGCAACAGTCTTCTGAACAAGGTTTGCCTGACAAAGAGTGACTGAGTTTCATGGCTGAGTGGGTACCTGAAGCTGGCACTTCCCTGTCCTTGCACTCTAAGTTTGGCTTTGATTTTGCATATGGATGGTATTATATTGCCATCCTTATATGGCTTTGTATGTCATGGCCTAGGTGTTCAAATTAAAGAAGGGCAGGGAGAAGCCCACCTCCTTCTCAAATCACAAGCACCCTGTCAGCAGGAGCAGGAGATTCAGGGAGGCAGACAAAGAAGGCATCTGAGGCTGCCCCTACTCTGAGCTTAATTGTTCTCTCTTTACCACCTTCCCTTACCAGGTTACAGGACTATCTTCCGCTTCCATGTGGCTGGTGTCATTTGTTTTGGTGAATCTATTTGATTCTTTTTTCAAAAAAAATGTTGTCAGCTGCTTAGATGATTCTTGATGAAAAGTGGGATGGCAATCAAATAAGTTGTAGTAATACTGTAGTTTGCACAGAACTCCTTACAAACTCTGATCCCCCATTAAAAGTTGATGCAGGAAAAGTGGTAGCTTTTTCTTTTGTTTTCTTTTTAGGAGCAATGAAATATCACAAAGTAGCCTGTAAGCTTTTTTGTTCGTTAGAAAATTGCTTCAGGCCAGATGTTAAGGCAAAATTTTAAAAAGTGTAAGGGGGATCAGAGCAGAAGATGGTACACTCTAGGAGTGCTTTTCAAACATGCAGTCTTCAGAAAGTCATGTCATCTGCTGTGGAACCCCCAGGTTCTTACCCTGGGACTCTAGCAAATTCAGATCATGTGGGGCTCGGGGTATCACCATTGTCCTGTATAAACTGAGAATTTGCCCAGGAAGGAACCCCAAACCCCTGTATCTCCATAAGGCAGGACAGGGAATGTAAGCGTGCTGAATAATCTGTCTTTCTGAAAAGCTTTCCTAGCATTATCAGTTTTCTCATTTAACCCTTATGCAAGCTTCTGAGGAACTTCAGGGTTTCCCCTAGAACACAAAAAGCCATGTTTCTAAGGGAAGTAATACCTGTTGCAGGACGAGTCACATTCTTGCCTGTATCAACCTGGCTGAGAGAAAACAAATTGCTAATCAAGGCTACGTTACTATGGTAGAGGAGGAGAGCCCGGATTTTTGTCTGTGGCACCATATGACCAAACAGGCCTCAATTAGTGCCTGAAGCGAACCTAGCAAATGTGAAAAGCATTTGTTCTGAGGATACGGCAAAGACGCGTCCTCTGAATAGCATCTCCTAGGAGCAGAATGACGCAGGCAGCAGTTTCTGGTGTCAACGCTGCGAGCCAGCAGCCTTTGCTTAGGGGCAGGTTAATATAAAACGAAGCGAAATTGCAGCAAGCTACGCTGAGTCCATAGGCTAGGGTGGGGTATAAATGTTACCAGATAATTTGTAGTTTTATCCACCTAAGCCCAAACATTGTTACTGCAAACAGAAACACTAGGGCAGATGGGAATAAATATCAGTCCTGTTTAATAAAAGAGCCAGAAGAGCATCATATGAGAGGTAAATGCCACAAGGGCATTTAAGTTGCCAGTTAATCAGAAAAAAAGAACCTGAACTGCTCTGCGCTTAACAGCTGCTTGAAGGATGGAAGTCAAGAGGTAAAGCGCTGGTGATAAACATTTTCACCTGCCAATATCTACACAGGTGCAGGGCCCAGTAAAAAAAGTTGGCAACCTTAGGAATATTTAAAGATCTCAGTTTAAATGCCTATTTCATGCAAGACCTGGAAATAGATAATTAGAAAGGACACAGAAAAATAGAAAAGGGTTTTTTTTTGTATAATCAAGATTCTTGTTACCTGATACCTTCCTGTTGCAATGAAACATGAATGAAGACAAAAATGCAGAATGGATCCTGCTCTCTTCCTCACAACTGCTCTCACTATGTGCTAGGATGCTCTGAGAAGCTGTGTCTAATTTTTCACCCTTACATCACAGTTGGCACAAGACAGGATACTACCTGAGGTGACCGAAACCACTGCTCTTCCTCTCCTCTTTTCAAGAGTTTTACTGCTGCTAATGCAGCAGAAATTTGGACACGCTATTTGTCTCCCCCTCCTCTCTGCCTTGCTGTGTGAAAGGGGGTCCTTCCTTAGAAAAAGGCGTTTGGGGCACGCTGCCCCAGGAGAGTGTCTGTGCCACTGCTTTTTCATGGTGGCTAGAAATGACCCTTTACATTTAGGGTGTGTGTGTGTGTGTGTGTGTGTGTACACACACCTCCCTCTCAGCAGCCTCATTTGCAATACATGGCTAAAAACACTTGCCCACCTTTTCGTTTTTAGTTACTTATTTTCAGTATTTGTTTTGGCTTTCAGTGGGGTTTCAAGTTGGCTACAGAATAGAATCACAGAATTGTAGAGTTGGACGGGACCACAAGGATCATCTGTGCAGTGCAGGAATCTCTTACCCAGCATGGGAGCAGCGGCTGAGACCCGGGTCAGGGAGGAGGAGGCTGCGGAGAAAGCCGAGCTGGGATTGCTGCGGGCGGAGCAGTGGCGCCTCCACTTGGCACTCCTGGCACTGGCTCTGCCAACAGCAGGGGGCCATGGCCTGCAGGCAACAGCGGGATGTGCAAGGGCAGCCCCCAGCTCTCCCAGCGCAGGTGCCTGCCACCCCTGTTTCTCACCACTGCCACCACCCATGTACAGCCCAGCCCAGCCGAGGCGGGGGAGTGCCATCACCGTCCACTGAGGAGAGAGGAAGAGGATGGTGGGAAAGCACCCCCGAGGGGGAAATGCCCCCCAGCATGCGCCTCCACCCCAGCTGCTCAGTTCACTGGGGGGGGGGGGTGGACGCAACACTTGCCCCACCCTGGGTGCCAGCAGCCCACAGAACACCACTGCATGGCAGCAGCCAGAAAGGAGGAAGAACAGCCAGGATTTTCTCTCTAGGAACCCACAAGTTTGCTCTTTTTGTGCGAAGCCTTGGCTTGGGGTTACGTGTTTGCTGGGTCAGAAAGTGACAACATAAAAACGAATAAGTATTTATCGAGAAATGCATGTTCTGTTTCTCCTTCTCCAAACATGGGGAATCTCTGTAGGCACTTTGGGAGAACATAGGATGATTCATTCTATTACCCTGGTGGGGAATGGTGCTACATCTAAATGAGGCTGGCTCTGCTTAATAATGTAATCTGCTGTATTCAAAAGCATAAAGCCAGCCCTGCAAACCATTAGTTCCCCCTCTGCTTTGCAATGGCCAGCCGCTGAAAGCAGAGCAGAGAATCCAGAAAAGTGTTCTGTGTAACTACTAATTCCCACTGCTTACAGATAGATGACCCACCCATGGGCTTTTACTGCTCAACACTTGTGAACCAATAAAGGAACATAAATTCCAAATGAACTGTTATTCAGTACTACTAATTCACAGCAAATGTCAATTAACAGAAATCCCTCTAAGAAGCTTTTACCAGCCTCCTGCTGGTTTTCAAGCTATTAGCAGGCCGTTTACACATTGTTATCTCTTTCTTTCTCTCATTCAAAAAACCACATGTGCAGCTGTGATCCTAAGCATGTTCACTCAGCAGTAAGTGTCCCTGAAATTAATAACACTTATGCTTTCACAAGGAACGCGGGTGGCGCTGTGGTGTAAGCCACAGAGCCTAGGGCTTGCCATTCGGAAGGTCGGCAGTTCAAATCCCTGCGACGGGGTGAGCTCCCACTGCTCCCAACTCCTGCCAACCTAGCAGTTCGAAAGCACATCAAGTGCAAGTAGATAAATAGGTACCGCTCTGGCGGGAAGGTAAACGGCGTTTCCGTGCGCTGCTCTGGTTCGCCAGAAGCGGCTTAGTCATGCTGGCCACATGACCCAGAAGCTGTCTGAGGACAAACACTGGCTCCCTTGGCTTTTAGAGTGAGATGAGAGCGCAGCCCCAGAGTCGTCTGCAACTGGACCTAACAGTCGGGTACCTTTACCTTTTCCTTTTATGCTTTCACAAATGTGTCTAGCATTGCAGCCTCCAAAATTAACAAATCTTAGCTAACATAACGTAAAATGCTGTATGCTCAAGTTATCCTCATATCAGCTAGCCAGCCCTGAAGAGACATATTTTGTAGTATTTTATGAGGACTAGATTTTTTCTCTCTCTTGGAAAGTGTAGAAGCACTGAAAAGGCATGACTGTCAGAACTGTAGACATTGTGCTACATTAGAGAATTCAGTGCTTAGAAACACAGAATTGTGGTTTTTTTGCAGAATATGAGCAACTCTGTACAAGAATATGAACAACTCTGTAGAATGGATATATAAAATGAATATGTACCATCAACTTTGAACAAGCAGCTCCATCTTTCATTTTTATGAGTTTAAAACACTATGATAGCATGCCTGCACTTCATTGTTTTGTGGTGCAAATAGAGCTAATAGAGTGTTTCCGTGCACTGCTCTGGTTCGCCAGAAGCGGCTTAGTCATTTTGGCCACATGACCCGGAAGCTGTACGCTGGCTGCCTTGGCCAATAAAGTGAGATGAGTGCCGCAACCACAGAGTCGTCCCTTTACCTTTTACATATTGTCAAAGAAAAAGAGTAAATCCTATTAAAACCTCTTTTCTTCTGAAGGTGTCATCCTCATACAGAATCATAGCATTGTAGAGCTGGAAGGGACCTGGAGATAAGAACTCCATCATCAATTAGCAGGACACTGAGAATGGAAAACAGGAGGAATCTCCTTGCAATTCTAATAGGAAATGAGTGTTCAGTTTATTTTGTCCCCAAATGGGGACAAAACCATTGAGTTTTAAATGCATTGCTCTTGCCATCCATGGACAAGAGCTTTGCACAGCAAACCTTAGAAACAGTCCATCTGAAGAGTCACTCAAAAGAACTTTAATCCATACCCCAGGCTCATACATTACTATATGTATATAAAAAATATAGTTCCAGGTGATAGCAGATATTCTATAATTGCAAAGCCTACTCTTGCCTGTTCCTTTTTGGAAGCCCCTGCTTCCATTCCTGCTTCCCTTCTGCTTGTCCTGTCCTTATCAGGGGTCACAACTGATCTGTCAGTGGAACTCCTGAATTCCAGAATGTTTGTGACAGGTAAATAACCCAGCTAACCAGTGCCAGCCGTTCTTTGAGAGAGGAGGTTCCCACCATGTAAACCACACATAGACAAGGTGTACGAAAGATGCAACGAGTTCAGAAGCACCACTGTCTGCAGTGAATTAAGGGCCAAACTGCTGACTGTGAATGAAGAGAAGCCCAAACTCAGGTGGTTTGGACAGGGCGCCCACCACAGGGCCTTGAAGGAATGCCAGCAAAGGCATTCCAATAATAAAAAAGTCAAGGAAATGACTCAGAGGCCAAGCCTTGTAGCTGAAAGCCAGACTACACATATCAGTTTCAAGGAGAAACAGCAGTTCTCTCTAGGCGGATATCTAAAAGATGGCCACAGCCCAGCACGTTTGGCACAGTTCACGGCTGCAGCCTTTGAGGGCAGCTGTGACTTCTGCAAGAGATTATCTGCCCAAGGCAAGTGGTGGGTCTTTGCTGGAGAGGGTGATGACTGAAGTAATTTATGTTTTTGGCATGGTGAAAAATAAGTGGAGAAAAGAAGTAGCGCTTTCTGGATGTGCAAAACAACAACCTGTAATCGGGCTCCATTTCTATAACTGCCTCTTTGCAGGCAACAAACGGTAAAAAGTATGGATGTCATCATTTGCCAACCACAGTGTGAATTTTACAGCTGGTAGTATACAGTCAGACCTGGAGCTTCCATGAAATCTGGGTGTATCTTTACTCCCTTCTCCAACTACAGGTCATTTATTGACAGGGGGAGGAATGCTGCTGAGGGCCCTGTAGCTCTGAGAATCACAGGTGGTAATGAATCCATAACATATTGGCTGACTTCCAGCTAATGGTTCTTAGCATCTGTCTGTCTCAAGAGACAATGGAGTGCACCTTCAGCAACACCAAACTGACCTCCCTGGGGCGCAAGCTTGGGCAGGGTGTATGGAGGTCCTGGGCTGCCCAGACAACAAAACTCCTCTCTCTGCCTCGTTGATGTGGTCCAAAGGAAAGCAGAGCCAGACGCTTGGCACCAGCTTGGCTTCAGGCATATAGAACGCCATCCAGCCACCTTCAGGATTCCACTCCAGATTTGTGGAATGTTTACTCCTTAGTCTTTTCTTCTCCTGAAGATATCACGCAGGGCAACAGAGGTTTGGGATCAGAGTTTTCCATCTCCTAGATTGGCATCCTTCCCAGGCTGATATATACCATGACTTTATACCACTGTCAGAAGTAGTGCAAAGCAGATGGTGTATGTTTTGGAAATCATAGCTCACCCAAAATTTTGTTAGAATAGGTGGACAGATAGTGAAGCAATTCTATAGTAAAGACAACCAAGTCAACCGTGAGATAGAGCATAATATTGTGAGTCTGGGGTGGGAAACTGTGTGTCCCCTCTAATCCCTGGATCTAATTTTTGGAATAGCCAGGCTAGCCTGGTAAAGTCATAGCCTGGGTGTTTAACAGGGGAAAAGGAAAGAGGCTCCACCTCAGGCTCAGGTTGCAAATATGCGTAGATAAACCACGTATCCTAAAGACACCACAGTCTCCACTGTGTCTCATTCCAAAAGGAAACACGGAGCCTGAGTAAGTGCCTGGAAACCATGGAATCTCACATCACTCAGAGATTGGGGTGGCGTGCAAAAGTTAAACATCCCTAATTTCTTAGACAAATTAAATTGATAGGGAGCAATTAAACATCTCACTCTCCTGATTGTTCCATCAGCACAAGCGTTTCTGCTTGATAGATGGCATGGTGCCCCCCCTCTCCCCTCACTTTTCTGGGGCATCCTCTGACCTGCCACGTTGGAATTGGGGGTGCAAGGGAGGGTGAAAACCTCATTGTGCTAGTGGGAGCCCTTGAGGTGGCTTTGCCAAGCATACTAGATTAGCTGAATTTATTTATACTACAGTTGTACCTTGGTTCTCAAATGTAATCCGTTCCGGAAGTCTGTTCGACTCCCAAAACCGTTCAAAAACCAAGATGTAGCTTCCAATTGGCTGCAGGAGCTTCTTCCACTCAGTGGAATGTCCGATGTTCGTCAGACATTCGGCTTCTGAAAAACATTCAAAAACCAGAACACTTACTCCTAGGTTTTTGGCATCCGGGAGCCAAAATCGAACCAAGGGGTTCGAGAACCAAGGTATGACTGTATTTATTTACATACCTGGCTCTTCTTTTCTGTAATATGTGACAGTATTAGTCAGGGCGTCTGCTTGGGCAGTAATTCCTGATGTGAAAATATGGCTATTCTGAACGTAAGAGGCTGTTATGGAGGGAAAGGCCACTGATTCATGTAGCCTAATATTCTCTCCTCTGATTTCTCAGCTCTGTTACCTGAAATCCTTAAAGATGGGGACCGTGCTACAAACCACATAAAAAACATTCTCCCTTTCTTTATGGGTTTTCTCTGAGTGGGAGTGTCGCAAATAAGAACAAGGGTCCACATTTCATCTGTGAAATGTAGGGTGCAATTTAGTAGCATAAAATGCTTGTGTGCATGTGTGTGTGTGTACTACAGAAAATGATCATACCGCTTCTCGGGGGAGGGAAACAATCACACACCTGCTGCCTGTGATGCTTCTTGTCTCTCTACTAGGGAGACATGTCAGTCCACTGATTTAGGATGGGGGTTGAGAGCAAACATGGCATGATGAAGCCTCGTGAAGTCCTTCAGTTGCAGCTGTGTGGAGCTTGTCTCATGTGAAACCAAGAATTTGATTCTTTATTTTCAGGGAAGAGGAATGGACTTTCCGTCTTTAATCAGTGAAGGTTTTATTTTGATGCTGCTATAAATAAACAAGATTTCCCTTAATCTGATGTGTAATTCATTCAAATAATCTCTCGGTTGGGGCTTCGCATTAATCCCTTTTATGGAGGAGGGTTGGGGGTATGTAGAAAGAGGCAGGGCAGGAAGAGAGAGGTTACGCAAAGCCAAAATACGAATCCATGCCACGATGTTTTCTTCTGTAGGTGACTGCATGATAATAAAGACTAGTGTTTCTTTCCCCTTCAAAATTTAATTGAAAGGATTCCTTGCAGTTGATTCCTAAATGATAATAAGAGGATAGTGCTTTTTGTAGAAGAAACATGCTGAGTAAGAAAATCTTGTGTCACCAAGGGATTTCTCCACTGTAGAGCAATAAACTTCCCAAAGCTGGGTCAAGCGGTTTTTGAACCCAGAGTTTGAAGCAAGTTCTGCAGTTGCTTATGTTTATTCAGTCTCCATGGATTCCATCAGCACAAAGTAGACCAAAAACAAATGACAAAAAACAACAACCCTGATGTAAACAGATCTCTTTCCCACAATGTTTTTCAGCCGGACAGATTTATTCTTGTGTTAGGGCTTCACGTAAACCAAATCCTTTTAACTGCTTATGGCAGTGACTTATAAAAATCCCTTGTGCATTCATGAGAAATTAAAACTTGGATACAATACTGTGGCTTCCTAATTCACCAGTAGGGAAGCATCCTGGGTAGGGGGCAGAATTTCCTTAATGAAGTATTTTTCTTACAGGTTTGAGTATCAGTTACTCAGTTTGAGGGGGGGCAGTACAAAACACAGGGTTTGTGGTACAAAACCATGCAAAACTATTGCAAAGGTTTGGCAGCAGTTTGGAGTGAATAAGACAATGTTTGATATTTGGGTGTTAACTACAAACACCAGTTTGATGTATCAATTACTCAGTTTGGGGAGTGGTATAAAACGTGGGGTTTGAGGTACAATGAAATATAATGAATTGGGAAAAAATGCTGAAACGAAGCTTTTCTTTTAGGTATTTTAGGTCCAGAGATCCCGAAGGACCAGACAAAATTATTCACATACGCAACCACGGCTGCACGGATGCTGTTAGCTGAGAGATGGAAAGATGGCACAACTCTGACCAAGGAAGAGTGGCCGATAAAACTGATGAACTATGCAGGGATGTCAAAACTTACAGGAAGAATTAGAAACCAGGAAGAGACTTACTTTAATAACGAATGGAGAAAGTTTATAATTTATTTTAAAAATCACTGTAAACACACACATTGGTAGCATTGACATAGAACGTGTAGCAAAAATTTGAACTATGGAGTGATAAAGGATTTATATATTAAAAAAATTAAGCTACAGAAGAAATGCAGAGGGGAAAATCATTAGATGAAGATCCACAAAGGAAGGGGGTGGGGGAGGAAAGTCAAAGGGGATTTTATATTTATTTATTTTTTATTCTGTTTTTATATTGTAAAATTGAAAATGCAAAAATAAAATAAAATAAAATCATTTAAGAAATCATTTAAAAAACCCCAAAATCTGGGGTTTGAGGTACAAAATGGCAGAAAATGAGTGAAAAACTTTGGCATCAGTTTAGAGGGGATCCCAAATTTGGGAGTTCATTGTCAATAAAAGCTCTGAGGTAGTGTGGCTTTGACCACCATTGCTCTCCTGGCTTCCCAAGACAGTGGGTCCCTGGCCAAGAGGGAGAGAGGAGGTGCAAGGAGCTTGCCCTGGTGCAGTGCATGGCGGTGGGAGCTTCAGATTGGAGCAGTGGTCTTCCACCAGTGCCATCTCACTGTTGGGATACTGCCAGGGAGACAAAGTCCATCTCGGCAAAGTCCATCTCCGGAGACAACGTGGGGCCGAGATGGACTTTGTCTCCCTGGCAGTATCCCAACAACAGGTTTCGGGCCCAGATTCACGGCACTTACAGGAGAGTAAGACTGCGACAGATTGTTGAGGTATGTGTGGAAAAGTCAAGGCTTTTCGTTGCCGCGGCAAAGTCTCTTTGAACTCCGGCTGGCTAATTGGCCTGGGAGTCGAGCCAAGCAGAACTCAAGATTTATGAAACATCCTGTGAACAGGAAAGACGCAGGCTGTGACAAACATCCTGCTCCCTTTTAAGGTGGAACGGAAATATCCTAACACTCACTGGCTGCTAGTGGCTTAGGGAGTCCCTGAC